TATATATATATATATATATATATATATATATATATATATATATATATATATATATATATATATATATATATATATATATATATATATATATATATATATATATATATATATATATATATATATATATATATATATATATATATATATATATATATATATATATATATATATATATATATATATATATATATATATATATATATATATATATATATATATATATATATATATATATATATATATATATATATATATATATATATATATATATATATATATATATATATATATATATATATATATATATATATATATATATATATATATATATATATATATATATATATATATATATATATATATATATATATATATATATATATATATATATATATATATATATATATATATATATATATATATATACAAAAAATAGTGTTACGTTACAATTGAATCGTACCAAGTAGTAACTTGATTTATAATAACATATATGGTAAATGGTATAGTGTTGCATCAATGGGTACATCAATATATGAAGCATTAGATTAAATATCTTCAGTTCTCCATTCCACTATTTATGTACTAGAAATATACTTTAAGTTTCTTTGGTCACTATTATACAGTTAATAATACACATGTATTATTTACTCTTCAGTTCGAGCTTCATAATTGATGTATTAATGAAGTCATACTTAATTTTTAATAAACATCCAAAGTACCATAAATAGCTTTCCAATCATTAGCAAATGAGGTCTATTCTGCTAGTACAGTTCTTTCATGAATTGATACTAACTATACCTCTCCCATTGAGTTGTATACAAACAATTGTGTTACATTTTAGAGAAAAGAAGTATAACCATAAATTATTTCAAACATAATATAATTTCTGGAAATTTTGTTATCCAAACTGTAATGATGTTTATCCTTATTTTTAAAGTAAATCCAAACCAAAGTACGAGATTTTTAACACATTTTCACATTTATCATATAATATTATAAAATTCTCAACTACCTGAAATATTATACATACCTGTTCATCAGCTTAGCACTTCAGTATTACACTATAATTCATGTAATAGTGTAATCTAATTCATATTACTAAAAATATTAAATAATTATTATTCCATGTCGATGAAGTCAAGCTTGAAAAAATAAACGGATTTCTTTAGAAATTATCTTTATATTATTACTTGCTATTCCTTGTAGTGTTAATATCTTGGGGAATTTATTTTTTTCAGAATGAATATATACATTTAAGTGAGTTTAACAATTTATTTAAACCAGACGATGAAGTCATTGGTTGTAGTTATATGTACAAGGCAATTGATGTGTTTAGTGAATGTCTATTCAGTTTGAGAGCAATTACGCTTTTAAATGCCGTAACTTCCAAACAAAGTAAAAAACTACATTCCAATATACGAGCCTAACATCGTCAATCACTTTCTTTGAGCTAATCGCTGAATTAATTGTACGTTGAAAGGTTATTACTGCTTTCTTGGCGTGTAAAGTAATTTGGTATTCTTTATAGTTGCCCACTTCTGTTTCTTCCAGTAAACTGTTAACGCTGTTAATGTCGAAAAGATAATGATAGCCTGTAAATGAGTAACAATTATATAACAGTTGAATCAGTTATAACTGCATATGTTTAAATAAATACGCTTTCTACGTATGTTTTTAACAATTATAAAGAATTACCTTGATAGCTAATCTCTTTCTCTCATCAAATTCAGGATTCGATGTCCACATAAGGAATGTGGTAATATCTTTTGCTATTTGAGAAGCAGTTGCAGGAGTACCATCTTCAAAGTCTACGACTTCGTCGAAAATGACCTGACATATTTAAATACAATAGAAATAAATTTTTGTGTCACCAAAGAGTTATATATAAATATTTAAGTAACTATATCAACTTACTTGTGCCATACCAATTGCTCCACCAGGGAAGTATGGATTAAATGACTGACCTTCTCCCACTTGAATTCCGGCTGGTGCATCGCAGTACCCAGTTAATAACGAAAATACGTAATTCTGAAATGTAAAATATATTTAAGTTTTAATAAGAAAATTCATTTTTTCAACTAATATATTTTATATACATAAACTTAAAAACATTATATTACCTCTCCATTGTGCCTTGCATTGACAATAAAGGTAAGATCTGGTGGGTAAGCACCATTGTTGGCTGCTCTAGCAGCTTCTTCATTTGGATATGGAGGTGGAATATAGTCAGATAATTTACCAGGGCGCATGAAATAAGCTCCTGTATCATCAGGACCATCTTGCACCTACATTTACATAAATTTTTGTAGAGCTCTTACAAGGTTATACAATATTTAATTCACATCATTATTTTATTACAACCTGCATGTGTTTTCTTATTTTTTATCTTAAAATATTTACCTGTATTTCTTCTGCAAGAGCTTTTGCTTCATCTTCCGTATGAGTAACACCAACAAGTTCTCTATATGCTACATACTGTAAGCTATGACAAGCTGAACATACATTTTTGTATACTTCCCAACCTCGTCGCATACTATGGAACATGATGCATATATAATCCATGTTTATGTTATATAATTTTTGTAATGTTTTTAATTACCTTTTATGATCCAGTGAATTAAAAAATCCATAAAAGTCCCATTTATAATTAGGTGGATGGGCTATTAATTCTGAAGCTGTTACAGAACGATCCAAAGCATAAATTAATGCACTAATACCTCCTGCAGTTACTCCCAAACATGTTAACAACTGAAAGTATATAAATTACATAAAATTTTAGTTATAAATATTATGTAGTTATTATTACATAAAATGATTCAAACTTACAATAAATATATACAAATGTATTTAATGAAATCTAAACTTTATTGATTGTACATTAGGAATGGAAATGGGAAGGGCACCTTCAATTCATTAGAAAAATTCACATACCACTTTTCTACCCCTAGACCACTGGTTTGCAGTAGAAAAATTATGCACCTGCTAAATGAAAATTTATGTATTAAAGAATTATAAATCGATAAAACAATGTTTTATTTTTAATATCATAAAAGAAATCGATTAAATTTATAACATTCATTAAAATGACAGATGTGACTGTTCCTTAGTGTTGAAATGAACAAATTGCTTGAAAGCATAAAATGTTAGTAACTATTTTATACTAACATTATTCTTATTTTTATTGATTTATTATATAAGATATGAATCTCTTCGAATAATGAAAAATTATAACTACTTTCATTTATAAACTTGCATTTTGCTATTATTCACACAGTTCTTGTGTCTGCTTGACCATGGCAGCATCACAGTTTTCTGTCCTAATATGTATTACATAACATCAAATAGAATATCTCCAAAATCCGATTGAATTTATGACTCTGTTATACAATATATTTAATTAGATTAAAAATAATAAGAGATAACACGAAACTAAACTATCTTCTGAAAAAAATGTCATAGCAGCCGACAAGTTGTACAGTTCGGTAAGAACATTGCTTTAACTTTAAGACATCAATATCGTGAGACTAAGATTTCGACAAAGTATGTTATTTCCGTAATAAAAAATTAAATATGTTTTAGAATGAATGACCATTTTAAAATACATACCTGACTGAATAATGTTCCATAATTTGATTTTAAAAGACCAGATTTACAAATCCGACCCAATGAAGCCGCCATGTTGGCCGAAAGTGTAATGTACAATGACTATTAGTCGGTTACACGCCTGTGCAATAAATTTTTAAGTGGCAGTAAAACAATCACCATTTATATTAATCAAATTGTTCTATTCATTATATGTACATTTTTAAATCGCACGCACGAGATCCTAAATGGGTAAGACTAGAAGAGCGAATACTTACACAACTTTCAAGTCCCTAAGTCTACTTTAATCAAGGATACCAATATTGCAAGATTGAATTTTAAAAGAATTGTACTTTTATTGACACATGCTATCCATATTGTGTATGTTCTTGATCACATAAATATCAATGAATGTACAGCATTTTTAACTATTAAACGAGAACATTATTTAACTTAAATTTATATGATACCCGAAACATAAATTTAATTCTTATACGGTGTATAATACTTTGCTGGAAAACGAATAATTTATGATAATATATATATTTATTGTAGTATCTTGTTGTTATATATATTCAATATGTTTTATATATTTTTAACATTACTACATTTGAAATTTATAAACTATTCTGAATGTATGGCAAGCGCGGCGCATGCGTAATTTCTGTTGGTAGACTTGATAGTTTGCTGTCGACCATTGGTGTCAGCTGGTGGTTTCGTCAGATGATATCGTGAATCCTGTAATATCACATCGATCACCGTGCAGAAGAAATATATTCAAGATGAGCGGAGGAATGCCTGAGTTGGGCTCGAAGATTAGTTTAATATCGAAAGCGGATATTCGTTACGAAGGCCGGCTTTTTACTGTTGATCCTCAAGAATGCACAATTGCTCTAGCTAATGGTGAGTCTCAAATCAAGATGGATACCGAAATCAGTTTTGCCGCTGCTCCGTTTCCCGGTTATTTTGTTGTAATAACCACTATCCTTCATCGTCGATTATCTTCTTACATTTGCGTCGTATGCTTTGTTAGTACATCATTTTCATAAAAATTCGACAATTTCTCTATACAGTATTCAAAATAATTTCGAAATCATAGGTACTTGGATTCGTCCGGTAAAGCTTTGATACAAAACAACCGGGGTCACCCGTCAGCTATAACGGATGTATTGTGCATTATTCATAATTTAAATTTGTTTCTGAGTATATTGTTAGATCTAACGTATTCTGAATTCCAATATATTTGTTACGAATTTATATAATATACCTGAATTTATAACATTTTATATTGGGCACAAAACTGAAGCGAGGAAAACAGATGTGTGCAACCTAACACTTAATTAAATAGTATTATATTTCTATTTTATAATACTTATTAAAGAAATTATTTGAATTTTATTAGAACTTTAAATAAATAATTATTTAATTTTCTCATATTTTCCATGTAGCATAATATGTTTAACTTTTTAAAACACTTTTGAACCGAAGCAAAATAATGAAGTTTAAATTGTAGAAAATAATTAATTATTTAAATATTTGTAGTGATAATGTAAGTGGCATTGATTGCGATCAGTTGGATTGTTTGAAAGACATTCCTTATATCCACCATTGTGTGAAATGTTTGTGTATTATACTTACCATGTTTATGTCACTTGTCCTCTTTTTTTCTACACATATTACAAAACTGTTATAATGAATCGTTAAATTTGAATTTTGTACCATTAGATATTAAGCCTATTTCTGTTTTCGAAACAGCAATTTTATATTATATTCAATTTAATAATTTATTTCATATTAAATATTGTACATCTTAATTTTATAGTTCTTTGTTCATTATGGATATAAATTAGGAAAATTATTTTTGCAAATAATTAAAATAAAAGTACATCTTGACATTGAAATCTACATAATTTATTTTTGAAATATGTAATAATTCATTTTTTTAAATAATATAGTACGTTCCTTTGGAACTGAGGATCGGGAGACACAACTTCCAGTGGCACCACAGAATCAAGTATATGAGTACATCTTATTCCGTGGCTCAGATATTAAAGATATCCGAGTTGTGAACAATGTTAGTTCTATTCCAAATGATCCAGCTATTGTACAGGTAATTATATATGTAATTTTATTATTGTTAGAGCTATTAATATCTATTATAAAAGATATGTTTAAAAACACAATTTAGTGTCACCTGTAATTATGACTACTAAATTCTTGGTTATTTATAGATGACGGTGCAACCGTCTATGAGCCAGCAGTCATACCAGCCTCAACCTAGTTATGCTCATCCAATGATGGGTCCAATGGGTGGCCAATATGGGACACCCTATGGCATGACAATGGGTACTATGGGACCTGTAATGGGAATGCCAACGTCTGCTAGAGATCCTCGTGGACCAATAAATAAACAGCCAAGTGAGTTGAGCTTGGGCTCTGCTGAACCCAATGCCATCTCTATCCCAAACTCACTACCGATGGCCAATGTCGACCCATTACCAAAAGACCAATCTCTGGAAGATGGTAAACTGTTTTTGCTATGAACTTTTCCTTGCCAGTGGCATGCTTACTGCTTCTTCTTTGGTAATGCTAATCAGCTTGCTTTTTCTGCTTTTTTCTTGTAACTGCCTGTACCTGTCTACTTATACTATAAACAATTTTTAATATATTTATTTAACTTTAATTTCCATTTTATAGTAACAAATATTTCTAAATGTATATATAATATGTTTTCTTATTCACAATACTATGCTTTCATATAATTTGCTTATACTGTTAACATTTATTTTCTTAAACTAATAATTTATCTATATCTGTCGATTTCTGCTTGTTCAAATGCTCACAATTCATTTTTCTTTAAATCTATGTGTATACATAATATTGATGTTTCTTTATCTAACATCAGTGATAAGATATCGTTTAAGTTAAAATGTTCATTCAGTATTTGTTTTAAAACGAATGTTGTAAGATAATTATGAAATTATATAACAATTATTTATTTTTTTCATAATTAGTTTATATGTTACATGAGTCTCACTTATTACTAATTATTTCCAACATTTTATTTATTTTAGTTTGTGCATGAAACTTTTTCTCGTACGTTTTTATTTAATATTTTTATTCTAAATGTGCATCTGAATTTTATTTAAACAAATTGAGAAGCATTTTGCATTAGTAAGTAACATAATAGCAAGAACAGTTGAAATATATAGAAATCATCTTTTAAGATTAATTTTAAACCTAGTACTTCCATAACCATTCGCTTAAAGCTGGAATTGAGGACTTAGTACATTATACATCGCGTTAAATATTTCAGTACTTACTCAGCATTTGGCCTTAAAATTGCCATTAAATGTATTAAAATGCTAGATATATGATCGCTTATTTTATCTTACAGGTGTATTAGATCTTATTAGCGGAGGTTCACGATCAACAACTCCAACTTCCTCGTTGTTAACACGCAAAAGTCCAACCATAGACCAGGGTATTCAAGTAGGCATTCAGCAACAACAAAAACAACAAACCGGTGGTGTTGGTAAACTTGGCGATAAGACGAACATGAGAACTATTCAACCTGTTCGACGTGATCATGATAGGTAATTATTAGAGAGATTCAAAAATTATAGACGAAACGTATATCGGAAAGAAAATGTTATTTGAAACGTATTTGTTTGTTCTATGATAGCGGTAATAAGACAGGAGGATCCGTGCCTCAATACGATGGAAAGCGTGATTCGATGAAGCAAGATAGTCAATTACAAGGTCAAGGTACCCATAACCAAGGAGGTCGAGGGAACCGTGGTGGATGGATGAATCGTGGAAATATGCGAGGTAGAGGGAGAGGTCGTGGCGGCTTTAGAAATCAACCTGGCAATACTGGAGCCAAACCGAAGAATACATTGAAATTCGATAACGATTACGACTTCGAACAGGCCAATACTGAATTCGAAGAGTTGAGGTACATATTTTTATATATACGTTTTTTTATGCATGGTCAGTGCCGGATTCGTTTCATGTACATTTGAAATGATAAACGTGGATACCATGCAAAATCAATGTTATGTGTTTTTAAAGTGATACATGATCACATCGTGTTTTACTTACGCAACGCATCAACAAACGATAACGTAATCTCAACCAATATGTACGAATTAAGCACCACTGATTTTTGTCGTCGTAAATCATAGATCTCAGTTGGCAAAGACGAAGATTGATTCTGGTGCTGATAACGAGAAGAAAGATGATAGTGGCAATGAGACTGGAGCGGGCGAAGGAGAACCTGAAGAAGAACCCGAGATTGTGCATTATGATAAGTCTAAATCATTTTTCGATAACATTAGCTGTGAGGCTGTTGAAAGGAGTAAAGGGTAAGTGGAGAAATTGATAGTTTAGTAAGAAAAAAGAAAGACGATAAGCATATAAAATTTGGTGTTTACAAAATATTGTAGACGGTTCCAACGCACGGATTGGAGGACAGAACGTAAACTGAACTCTGAAACGTTTGGTGTTGCGTCAACGAGACGCGGTGGTTTTCGCGGACATGGGTACTATAATCGTGGAATGGGAGGCATGTATCGAGGTGGTGGTGGTGCTGGTGGTTCTGGTTTCCGAGGTGGTTACAGAGGTTCCAGAGGTGGCAACCGTAAACCCGCTAACCAACAGCAACAAAACAATCCTGGCACTCAAAATCGCACGACCAACGAACAATCAACTACTCAATCGCAGCAGAATAGCCGCGTTGTATCTTACTGAATGAACAACGCCCTACTATATAAATAAGTATTCACTTTAGGATTAAGATTTTTACAATACATGCTCTGCCTTTACGGACTGATTTGAATTCGAGTGTAAAAAAGGATTCAACGGGTTAACAAGAGAAGGTAAAGGTAAAAGAAAAAGAAACGGAAGGTTCTTAGAGAGAACTTTATCGAGAGGTTTTTCTATGGTCACGCAGGAATAACGTAGGAAACTGATCAATGCTTCGTAAGTCCTGCGTTTAGAATTTCTCGACAAATAAATGCGAATCTTATTGTTATGAATAGTTAAGTTTCGAAAAAGAAAGAAACTCGATATTCAGAGCTATCATGTCCTACGAGTTAAGAAAACGTCAAATGCTTATGAGTGTAATAAGTATAATGGGTGTAATAAGTATAATGAGTGTAATAAATAATACACGCCGGACGGTAGATTGTTTCAAACAACGTACACAGAAGTAATAAGTTTTAAATTTTCAGTTACACTTTGTTTGAACACTGTTAACTCGACAAGCATGCAATTATGAGGGTAAGAGAACAATAAGAATCTCAAGGAAACTTTTCTAATACAACGTGAATGCAGCGTTTATAAAACAAATGGGTAGTATAAAAACGATTTCGAAGAAAGATAAAAGAAGTGACTAATTACTTTTCCATGTTGCATGTGTGTTACTCTAGCGAAACGAGACACATGGGGCACTATTGTTGATTAAAGCTTTTCACGGGTGAATGAAACAAATTAGTAGGGAAGAACAAAATAAAAAAAAAGTAAAACGGAACATGCGTACAATCGCAAACTAGAGGTAGGACAATATATTATGGTTATTTTGAACAGTCAACTTTATTTATTTAAGATAATGACCGTGTATGCGAACAATGGTGAAATAATTATTTTACTCACGTATCTACTAGGGGGTTTTGATTTTCGAACAGGAACATCCCATTGTTCCTTGCGAAGATATAGAAAAAGAAAACAAACAAAAAGATTGATTTTGTATATTTCATAGGAACATGCGCACGAAAGCCGAATCGTACATCGATATTGACCATTAATTATTTTTTTTCTTTTTTTTTGAAATATTGAACGTGGTATGCTAGTGAAAGAGAAAATGGGAGCACGAATGCCTTCTCGTGGTTCGACTGCGTTTAATAATTCTGACTTTCTATTGAAAATAAAAATTAAGAAACCCTTTTGGTGTACGAGGACGCTGTACGTAAATTGCAGGTAGCGTTACGAGAGTAAGACTCTAAAAGCATGATAATGTCCTTAAAGATATAAGACGCAAAAGGAAAGGCAGAATAGGTATATTATTTGCGACTGTTATTTTCTTATGGTTCATATGAAATCCTAAACGTATACAGATATATACATTACATTAACATGAGATTTAGTTATGTGTAAGTCCAATAAAAAAAAATGAAGAAAACCTCCATAAGCTAACAGTAAAGTTGCAAAAAAAATATAAATCATATATGAATAAAGATAAGTAAAATAGAAAGGAATATGGGGGAAAAGAAGAAATATAACTTTTAAGTTTTATGCATTGTGTAAAGAAAAGCACACGGTGTATGCGGTTTTCCGATAATAAATTTTTGTTTTGTACAACGGATATTGTGATTCCCAATGCTGAATAATATTGAAATAATAAAATAACGTTTGTTGTATACTCTTTACGCCCACCAATTGCTTTTGCGAACAAACACGAAGAAAGAGAAAAGCATCCGTCAATTATCAATATATAAATTGTTTTTGTAAATTGCCGAGCATAAAAAAAGGTTCAAAGGAAATAAAACGAGACTTGATCGAATAAGAAAAGTCATATCATTATTATCAACTTAAATGCTAAGTAAACTTACAAAAAATAAAAAGTAAAATATGGTGGCGTTCATTTATGTACAAAAATGCGATGCGTGGTGTACGCGTGTGTATAAATACTTAACATTATATCAATGACTGAGAAGAAAAATCAAGCAAAGCGCAGCTTGAACCTTTCATTTTCCTCAACCTCTAAGTTTGCTCGAACAAACCCGAGTCTCTCGATGTCCCTCAACTTTTCCCTTCACTGTTCACCGGGGCAGTGATGAGCAATTTCGAGCACGAGGTTTATGATCATGTGATTGGCGTCCATTTATGAGCAACGATGTATACAGTAAACTCTTATGATATTGTCAGTTAGGGATTCTTTTATGGAGCATGTTTGTAAATTTAGAAACTTGTAAATTTGAAAGTCTGCGTTTGAGAACTTGAAAGATTGCAAACTTAAAAATGATAAAATATGAAAACTTGCAGCATCTCAATGTACACAAAGCCTATCTAATTTGTAATATAAATGATGGCAATATAGCTGTAGTTTACTGTATTCTGTTAAACGCGAATGAGTACACCTCAAAACCGTGCCCGGCAGTACTATAGTCGATCTGCCCATCACTGCGACAGCGACGCGCAGCGATCCGAATCATTCGCGATGATTCTTGAAGAAGTCAGAAGATCACGCTCGAAGAGGTCACATTCTCGTGTCAGGCGCAACTCATCAGACCTGTCCGCGTGTTGTCACAGACCTCTCTTATCGGACGACCTCTCGTCGTCACTTTGGTCTCAACCAGCGTGAAATTGTTCTTGTAAGTGCGGCGCAAAGTACGAGGATTCGGTACGTAAACTTCGTACGGACTTCGCCCGTTCTCGATCACCCATATGCTACCGGATTCACCGATCCTCAGTATCGACATCAAACCTTGAGCCACTACGTACGGTCTGCAACGAATCAGTAACAATTACTTTTTCATCGTCGAACAGCGAGCGAGAAGAGAAGATAAACTTACGTTTGTATGGATAACTGTTCGAGGTTTTTCACGAAGTCTGCCTTCATTACTCGGGAGAGCAACTTGTTTGGACTGTCCACTGTTAGGGCGGTCTCCGTTAGCCCTGGGCATAACGTTATCACTCGGATACCGGTCTTCTCGTATTGATAAGATTCCTGGTACAAATTCGGTTTTGTTAGATGTAGTCTTTTTTAAATCTTAAGTTATTTTGTAGAACGCGGCGGAATTTGGAAATTTGAAAGTTTAGGAATTTAAAAATTAAATTTTAAGTTCAGAGATTTTGGAGTTAGATTTTGTGGAAGTTACAAAATTTTTAATTTAGTTATTTGGAGAATTTAGATGTCTTGTAATGTTTCCGAGTTTCAAATTTTCAAATTTAGGAATCTAGAAACGTAGATCCAGTTCAATTCCTTTTATTTGGGTAGCGTTATTAATAGATTGTATTGTTTAATATTTACTATAACTATTATTACAGCAAGTAATCTTACCGCGAGAGACTGCGAAAGACCGATGATGGCGTGCTTGGTAGCCGTGTAAACCGGAAGTTGAGCTGTGCATCTGATGTCAATATGCTGGCTAACGTTCACCAACGTTCCACCGTGTCCAAGTTCGTTTCTGTTTAAGTATTTCATGGCGAGTAATGCGGTAGAAACCATGCCTCCCTAAAATGATTGTAAAATAATTTCGTAAATATAAAGAAAGAGGAATAAAAGCAGAAATTCTTTTTTTCACTCACAATGTTCACCGCGATTTCCTTCTCCCATCTTCGTTCGTCCAAGATACCAGCGTTATTGATAACCACATCGATGTCGTTCATTAATTTTATTGCTTCTTCGAAGGCCTCTGTAAAATTAGAATTGATAAGAACTTGAAAACAGGTAGACATGTTGTGTCTCGGGGAACGATAATAACCCGTCTTTTCGGGAATAATCAAAATATTTACATTTTTGTTAGATCGAGGTCTATGCGTTGACTCTTATTATCATTTCGTATTACTCATTGCTGTATTTACAAAGCAGCCTTACAGTCGCATTCGTTAATAATTTTATTTATTTTAATACTTGAGAGATTTAGAAATTTTTAATTTATAGACTTGTGGTCTTTCAAATTTTCAATTTTAGGAGTTTGGAAATTTTTTATTTATACTAATGCAGTCTTATAAATTTCCAAGTTTAGGAATTCAAAAATTTCAAATTCATACATCCATACAATATGCAATTATACATAAATTCGTACAATTTAGAAATTTCAAGTTGACAGATTTTCAAGTTTTGAAAAAATAATTTAACTACTTTAAGCTACCCTCTTCTAGAAAGCATGTCTAGATTCTAAACATGTAGCAAAGTTAGGGGACGTTACACCCTCAGACGAAACTTAAATTTACACCAACGACCAAATTTTCACCAACCCAATAATTCTGACAGTTTATGCGACACTCACCACTTAGCTGTTGGTAATTAGACACATCAGCGTGTATAAAGTGAACCTTCTTCTCCCCATAGGACTTTTCGACAGTTATTTCCACCTTTCTCCCAGCGTCCGCGTCGATGTCCAGTATAGCTACTTTCTAAAGGTCATAAACAGAACAACAGATGTTGAAACTATCACACAACTTTGATAACGAGTAAATAATGTACAGAAAGTACTCACGTTGGCGCCATGTTTCAGGAAGTGGTTCATGAAAGCATATCCCAATCCTGAGGCTCCACCGGTGATGAGGACGTTCTTTCCTGAAACCAGTCCATTTATCGCCTCTATTTCTTTTGCTTTCTCAGACGCGGAAGAACGTCTGCTTCTGTTGTTATTATTTTCTGCAAGATTCGGACATTTTACGCTTGTAACGTTCGTTTAATTTTACAATCTTTACGCACTGATATGTGTTTTTTTGATCTTAAAATTGCACAGAATTATGTAATTGTACTATCGTGGTTTTTCTGCGGCGTTATCGGCGACGTTTATTGTACGTATTTCAAAAACTGTGGTAATCATTTTAGCGGGGACTACGTGGTGGTACACGTGGAATCAGTGAACGATAGAAATATGGAGAGTTTTGGAACTTTGATATTTTAGAATTTTGTGTCAGTGTTGTGTAATTTTTGGGTGTTGAAACTTTCGAATTTTTTAACTTTAGGAGTTTGTTTTTTTTTTTGAGAATTTGGGGCTTTGGAGTTTTGACATTTTGTGGCTTAAGATTTTTGGAATGTTTGAACTTTGAAATTTTGGGGTATTGGAATTTTCAAACTTTGGTACTTTGGAACTTTGAGAGTTTGGAAGTTTGGAAGTTTGGAAGTTTGGAATTTTAGGACTGTGCATATTTGGAATGTTATTTATTTCGAAAGAGTGGGACACTCAAATTTCATGATACTGTAATTGTTGAGCTTTGAATTTAAAATTTTGGAACTTTGAAATTGTGTGACTTTGAAATTTTGAGATTTCAGAATTTTTTAAATTTATAGTTTCATAAAAAGAGGTATTTTCAACACTGGTTCGATCCTCATCAGAAACTCCTAATTTAAAGAATAAATTAACTACGAAACTAATATAAATGACTAAAATTTCTATTATCACTGTCTGAACCCTCCATCGTTCAAAATAAAAAGCTCATCACCCAAAATACATTAAAAGATCTCAAGCTCCAATACTATTAAAAGTTACAATACATCATTGAAAGAACCACGTGTTTATAAGAAAAGCTCCGTCTACAGTACACTCGTACATATTTAAACAAAGTATATATTTCATCGATCAAAAGATCGTCAGGTTATTTTTGAGCAACAGAGCACGTTCGAACGTACCCATTTTTCTTCGGAAGTCGCAAAAGAGAGTAGCAAGGAAGCGTGTGAAAATAATAAAAGCTCGAGACGAGAGATCACGAGAAGTCAACGGCGTACTGAAGCTTGCTCGGTCTTTGACGATGGTATTTATAGTCGTTTGAAACGTCGTTGTGACGATTCCTGGTTACGTTGATGCAGACACGACGCGTCTTCAATTTTTATCGCGAGACAGCAGGGCTGGATTAACCGTTTAACGAAATCACCACGTGTTCTGTGTGCTCAAAGAATGTACGTGTTTACCGATTCAGAATTGATCAAATTCAAGGTTTCTTTTTTTATCTTTCAAGGTTTCGTTTTAATCCTTCAAGGTTTCAAATTTTTGGACTGACACTGCTGTTTTTAATTTTTGGAATTTCAAGGGTTTAAGGTTTCGAGGTTTTGAGGATCGGAGAGTCAAGGTTTTAGAAGTTTCAAGGTTATGAAATAGTTCAAAAATTCCAAATTTTCACAATCTAACGTGCCGAATATCTAAGTCCCAAAATTTCAAATTTTCAAACTCCCAACGTCCCAAATTTTCAAAATTTCTAAAATTCCACCTTTCTAAACTCTTAACGTCCCAAAGTTTCAATGTTACAAAATTTCAAATTTCCAAACTCCCAACGTCCCAAATTTTCAAAATTTCTAAAATTCCATCTTTCCAAATTCCCATTGTCCCAAAGTTTCAATGTTCCAAAATTTCAAATTTCCAAACTTCCAACGTCCCAAATTTCCAAAATTTCTAAAATTTCACCTTTCCAAACTCCCGACGTTCCAAAGTTTCAATGTTCCAAAATTTCAAATTTTCAAACTCCCAACGTCCCAAATTTCCAAAATTTCTAAAATTTCACCTTTCCAAACTCCCGACGTTCCAAAGTTTCAATGTTCCAAAATTTCAAATTTTCAAACTCCCAACGTCCCACATTTCCAAAATTTCTAAAATTCCACCTTTCCAAATTCCCATCGTTCCAAAGTTTCAATGTTACAAAATTTCAAATTTCCAAACTCCCAACGTCCCAAATTTTCAAAATTTCTAAAATTCCATCTTTCCAAATTCCCATTGTCCCAAAGTTTCAATGTTCCAAAATTTCAAATTTCCAAACTTCCAACGTCCCAAATTTCCAAAATTTCTAAAATTCCACCTTTTCAAACTCCCAACGTCCCAAAGTTTTAATGTTCCAAAATTTCAAATTTTCAAACTCCCAAGTCCCAAATTTCCAAAATTTCTAAAATTCCACCTTTTCAAATTCCCAACGTCCCAAAGTTTCAATGTTCCAAAATTTCAAATTTTCAAACTCCCAACGTCCCAAATTTCCAAAATTTCTGAAACTTCACCTTTTCAAATTCCCAACATTCCAAAGTTTCAATGTTCCAAAATTCTAAATTTGCAAAGTCCTAAAATTCTAATATCCCAAAATTCTAAACTTGCAGAGTCCAATATTCCAACACCTCTGTGTCCCAAAATTCTAAACTTGTAAAATCCTAAAATCCTAAAATTTCAAATTTCCAAAGTCTCCAAAGTCTCCAAAGTCTCCAAACTTTCCAAAGCTCCAAACCTCCAAAGTTTCCAAATCTCCAAATCTCCAAAATTTCATCCTAAATTACCCAACATCCCAAATTCCCATATGTCCAAAATCCTACACTCGCATTTCGAATAATAAAATTCTGTCTTATATTATATTTCATCTATCTTATATTAAAATACACGAAGATACAAAAATTATATAACTGTGTGGGAGCCTCAAAGGTGTTACTGCGTCCCTGGAATCTTCGTAAGGTGGACGATGGACCAGGGAACGAGGCGTTTTTCTCTCCACCCCTCTTTATTTCCAGGATAGACGAATAAGAACAGTCGTCTCGAACAGACGATAACGTCTCTAATTAACCCCTTCCCGCCCAGACCAATTAATTCCGCCGGTTTCGTATCACGTTTACTCTGTCAGCTCGATAAACTCGATATATCGTTCCAAAAAGAAATTCAACGTATCGCGGTAAGTCTTCGCGGTGACGTCTGTTCTTCCGATAAATCGTAATTAAACCTCTGTCGATAATTGCTGTCCGATAAACTTGTAATTGTATCATTTTGTATGTGCAATTTTTATTTTCACTTTGTTGAGGTGAGGATATAAACGAAAAAGGGATTGATAGATTTTGAGTCGATTCTCAACTTTGATCAAATTTTTTAATCAAAAGTGCAGAGAACAAAGTGAAATGAAATGTGTTTAGAATAAAATGTAACAAGGCTCGATTATTTTGAGATGTTCTTGAAAAGTCTTTAGGTATCTTGAAAGATAGATGATTTATTTGCTGACGCGAAATATTTAAATGTTTGTAAGGAAAATTGAAATGTGTCGAAGCAATAACCTTCGAACCGTTTGTTGCTTCGTAAAATATCCAGTAATAAATTAATCAATTATCTAGAAGTTACTTCAAAGAACTTCAATTTTCTTCTACACTATAAAAGTATAGAAGAAATTATTTCCTATAGTGTTTCTACACAAACGTGAAAAATTATACAAAGTTAATAAAATTCTTCAAATAGTTACAGGACAAAAAATTCATAGAACACTTATTTCTCAGAAAATAAGTCGATGTTCCGAGTAACACGTGAAACCCATCGAACGATCAAATTTCCATAAACTGAAAATGGTCAAGGCTCCCTATCGAGATAGGTTAACGTAACACACGTTATCGATGCACGATTGACTAACAAACATTACGTAGCACTTGTCCTGGAAGTGCAACGACCGTGCAATAAAAATGCAATATCCAGAGATGCTCAAGTTTAGTTATCCCCACGAGTTACTGCGTCGAAATCAAATATGGCGTCCGCACACTTTCCTTGACTCATCTCTGCTGATCTCGGCGTTCGAGGAAAGAGTCGATAGCAAAGGACATGCCAGTGCATGAACTGGTCATTATTTTTTACTTCACGGAGATAGTGAAATGTTGTTGCGTTCGGTGATATAAATCTTCTTGCAGTTGAGTGACTATGACGTGTCAATTTCTGCTGCATTTTTTTTTGTGTGACGTATCGTTATACTATTCCATGATGAAATCCAATGAGGCAATAATTTTATAGGGTAATAGGTAATAGGGAGCTAATCTGTAATTAAGGATATGGGGGATATAGAGATGTGGGTATGGGGGTTTCAGGGTAGAGGTTTCAAGGTTTAGAGATTTGGGGGTGTAGAGATTTCAAGGTTTAGAGATTTGGGGGTGTAAAGATTTCGGGGTTTTGGGGATTTGGGGGTGTAGAGATTTCAAGGTTTAGAGATTTGGGGGTGTAGAGATTTCAAGGTTTAGAGATTTGGGGGTGTAGAGATTTCAAGGTTTAGAGATTTGGGGGTGTAGAGATTTCAAGGTTTAGAGATTTGGGGGTGTAGAGATTTCAAGGTTTAGAGATTTGGGGGTGTAGAGATTTCAAGGTTTAGAGATTTGGGGGTGTAGAGATTTCAAGGTTTAGAGATTTGGGGGTGTAGAGATTTCAAGGTTTAGAGATTTGGGGGTGTAGAGATTTCAAGGTTTAGAGATTTGGGGGTGTAGAGATTTCAAGGTTTAGAGATTTGGGGGTGTAAAGATTTCGGGGTTTTGGGGATTTGGGGGTGTAGAGATTTCAAGGTTTAGAGATTTGGGGGTGCAGAGATTTCAAGGTTTAGAGATTTGGGGGTGTAGAGATTTTAAGGTTTAGAGATTTGGGGGTGTAGAGATTTCAAGGTTTAGAGAGTTCGGGGTTCCAGAGGTTTGAGGACGTGTGAACGTGGGGATGTAGGGATTCGGGGATATAAGGATTCAGGACTATAGGGATTCGGGGACGTGGAAATATGGGTCGTAGGGATTCGGGGCTGTAGGAATACGGGGACGTGGGAATTCGGAGACATGAAAATTTAGGAACATAGTAATTCGAAAACGTGGGAATTTGGGACGCAGCGATTCGGGAATGTACGAATTCGACATAGGGATGCGGGAATGTAGGAATTCAAGGAAGTAGCTATTCGGAAACACAGTAATTCAGTGGTGTTGGGATTCGGATATATAGAAATTTAGAAAAGTAGAGATTTGGAAACTTTGAAAGAAATTTGAATAGTATCCAAAAAATATAGAAATATATCAAAGTTCCAAATTCGTAAATTTTCAACCCCCAACTTCGCAATTCCTCAAACATCTTAAATTCTCAAAATTGCCACCCTCCCAAATTCTCGCTAATCCCCACCCTCCCTAAATTCACAAATTTCTACTTCTACAAAATTCCACAATTTCTAAAACCACCATAAGTGTTTCTTTCAATAAGAAATTATTTCTCTGTGGTGAAATGGGGTGCGTGTAACGAAGGACGCCTTCCTGGCGCACCCTTTCCTCACCGCTTATCATCATTATTTATTGTTCCCTTTTCACCGCAAAAATATCAAGCCAATGGTTTCTCAGCCAACGATCACGAACAAACAGCATCGGGAAACATAATTTACGTCGAGTCGTGTGGCGCACTGGCACGATAAAGAATCGACGTACGCGCAGCTCGTGCTCCGTGCTCCGTTATCAAAGAAAAAGTGCATTTAATGTGGCCGTCTTGGCGAGTTCGTGATAAATCGTCGGGAAATCACGCGTTTGAAACTCCTTGAAACCGGTAAGATTCGGCTCGCGTTGAACTTTACTCCGACGAACCATCGGCAAAGTGGAAGTAGCGCGTGCAGGATTCCCTGCTTTTCTTTTTTCCTATCGGTCTTTCTGCCGATTTCTTTGTAACGGAGAAATGCTTCACTATATCGATTTCTTGAACCATCGATTCGTAATAATTTTGTTAGGTCATCAGATATCATCAGTAGTTACTGATCGTAAGATTTAGAATGGTAAAATATCTTGAAGATAACATTTTTTTTCTTACGGTGAAAAATATGAAAATTCAAAAAAAAGTTTATTTGAGAATATTTAAATTGACTTGTATTAAAAAGTGTTTGGAAGTCGTTTCATTTATTTGATGAAAAAAGTGAAAGTTTTTTCTCGAAAATAAATTGAGGTGCAGCAAGAATAATGAAGTATTCAAGAACATCTAATCTGTACAATTATAAGTAGATTAAAGAAAATCTTTCGACAATAATAAACTGATAATTACAAAGCAGATAATGGGTTTATAATTACTGTATTTATGAATGATAAGTATTGGAGCGCTATTTTTCATTGAAAATTAATTATAGAAATGAAACACAATTACACGATTATGCTTTGATGAAACGATAGCTAAAATTGTTGATGTACTTTCTTCATATTCATACTTTATTCATATATTCATTTACAATATTCTTCTATCTGCGATTGCTAAAAAAAATCAGATTTTATAATTGATATTTCCTCGTTGACGTAATGGAGTGTTAAGGAAGGTATAATTAAAGCAGTTTAAAGTCATTTGTCAATTGCGTTTATTCATTTTTGACAGTTTGCAAGGCTTCTTAAGGTAGTGTCGCATCTGTCGCCATCTTGTTTTTTTACATCAACCTTACATCTTCGAAAAACCTGCAGTATTGCTGTTTAAAAATGCCTACCTAAAAATACTTAAAAAATATGATCACTGTAAAGTTTAGTGATGAGTATTCTCGTAAAAATTTCATTTCTTTTTGCGTTAACACACAATCATTAATAAAGTTTTGTACGAATAAGAACAGTAGAATTTATCTTCGAAAAGTGAAAAAGCTATCATGCACCCATAGATGCGCATTTCCACGCGATAAATGTATATTTTTTCCCCTGCTCGTCATTCTCGATTCACGTCGATTTCTCGGTTGATTGTGAACGGGATGTTACCGGGTTATCGTTAACCCGGCCTGATTATGCGAGGCTTTGTACCGCGTCGTTTTGCGCGAACTATCTCGAGCATGATTCTTTATTATATCGTCAGTGTACTATCATTCGCGAATATTAGGGTGTTGCACACGAAATATCAGGTTTCAAGTACCTCCAAATAACTTTCATATCATATCAATTCGCAGATTACGGTTTAATGAAAATACGAGTCGATGTTTTAAATATAAAATGGCCGATTACAACTAAATTTTAAAATGTATAAAGCCTAGTACGGTTTGATAAAAGTATTACCAAATATCATATCAGTTTCAAGTTTAAAGTTTAATAAAAACTATGTGAGTCGTTTACTAATATTCTGTATACAAAATGGCTGATTCTTACAGTGAAACAATTTCATAACCTGTTCACTCAAACTTAATTTTATGACTTAAAGGTGCTATCAAATAACACTTGTGTCATTCTAATTTAAATTTGAAAGTCTGCTGAAAATTACCTACGTCATCTATTAATATTTCGAGTACAAAATGGCCGACTGTCAGCAAATGACAAATTTTGATAAAATGTTCATAGAAAAAATGATTCAATTTCACACAAAAATTAAGATAAGAATTTTTTTTTACACTTATGTCAATTTATAGCTTTGGATCTTCTATTCCTATGCATAGAATGAACGTATTTGTATACGTTAAGAAAAGAACGAGGACAAGAATTTTTGTTTTCTTCTTCAATCTCTTGATAAATGATAGGAATCAAAGTTCAGACGACCCATGTTCATTTCGTTCAGTCGAGTCTTCGTGGGTCTCTGATATGGTGGCGTCGAGGCATTTTAAAAACATTTTTTTGCTGCTCCAAGATCGCAGGGTTCCACGTAATCCACCCAACGAGCATTAATCGCGTAATCGAAAGTTTGCTAGAGATACAAAACAAAGTTAAACATGTCATTCTTCGTTTTAAATCGATAAGAAATTCTAATCAAAATCCGGGTTTTATTTCGTTTCAGTAAATATCGATTCTGATTAAATTTTAATACGGAATATGATCCGATTTTGGTTAATCAAAACTGTTGTGGTGAAAGTAGAAATGCAATTGATTTTTGGAGTGATTGTGGACGTACTTTGTAAAAGTTGAAACTGTTAATAAAGTGTTAGTTGTCAGCAGTTAAGTGTTAAAATCCACAAGTGCTTACACTTAATTTAATTAACATAATGTTATCTTGTAAATGTTATTTTCATACTTATTTTTATTATTACAGTGAAAATTGTCATATTTGATGTGGAATTTAATATAATAGTGATTGTTAATGATTTTTGTGAATACAGTATTTATTGTAATAAATATAATATTATTATCAGTGTGATTTTACCATAAACTGTTCTATTGTCTGTTTTTTCTTAATATTTTCATTGATACAATCAAAAATGGATGTTTGATGTCAGACACCGAATATTCGCGGTGTTTACAGTAGATGACGAAGCGTCTCGAAGATGAACAATGATGTCTTTATCAATATTGTGACTTTAATAGTTCTAGTAGTTTGATTAAGTATAACATTCAAGATATACATTGTTTGTCGTGTCACCCATCCGTAGATATCGGTTTCCGGCGACTGTGTACACTAGTTTATCTTCAATATGCTACAAGGAGGTTGATAGTTACGTTTAATAAACGTTCTTTGAACTCGGTGAATAATAGACAATTTCAAGATTCTTGTATTCCTAAATTCCTACATCATATATCTCTGTAACCCAATAACTCTATGTACATTCGTAGAGTTATACATTCTCAAATCTCTACATCCTCATTCCTTCATATGTGTACCTACATATGTATACAATACATAGGATGTATTCATGATATTCATGATGTATTTATGAAAGGTACTGTATAGATATATGAAGGTGTGTATGTATGTATGTATGTATGTACATATGTATACCCAGCATCATTAATAAAAATTAGAAACACACAACACATAGGAACAATTCCAATAAAACAATGTTTATCATTTGCAACAGTATAAAATATTTTATTTACAATATTTAACAATCTTCACTTATTAAGGTTCAACAATAAAAATTTAAAATAACAAACAATAAAAATAAATTTTATTTATCAATTGGCTTATATGATTAAATATAAAAATCTACGAACATCAATCTCATTGATTCTAACAGTTCCAACAGATTCCGACAGATTATGTCGATTCAGTATAACGAATAATCGTGCTAATACTAAAATTCTATTGACAGGCTTTCGGATTTACTTTATCTTAATCTCGTTCTCGTCAGTTTTCAACAAAGGATCATCGGGTTTCTGAGGCAGACTGTCGGGCAATTGGATTTCGTAAACCGGTTTCCCGTCCTCGCTAATCCAAACGCTTCCATTTTGTGCGCACCTGATCACGTAAATCAATCCGTGTGCGATGCTATCCACTCTGAAATAAGAATATGGGATAAGAGTTTCTTAAATTAAATTGTCAAATAAGAGTTTAATGCGAACGATTATTGGAGTACCTTCTGTAGTATCTTTGTATGATTTCATCCTGGGGGAGGGTGCTTGATAAATTCTCTGCGTTTAAGGGTTGCGAGAGGTCGGGGCACATCACTATTATTCTTACACCTGTCCTTTGGTAATGGTAAGGTTGCTAAACAGACAAGATTATAATTAACATATGTGTAAGAAAGAAAGACAAATTTTATACATAGTTATAATACTAAGGGGTAGAAAAATTATCATAATTATTCTAGGTTCTTTAAGTAACAAGTCATGATACACTTTGTTCATAAATAATGTTATAATAAACTATTAAATTGCCTTCCTAATTTTGGTACTTATAACCCTCTTCATTTTTACTTTTCATATTGTATAATCATACAGAGTAAGAGGCTAATAAGAATCGAATATTCATCAAGTTTTTTTCAACGAACATTTAACTTGTATTCTTTCGTTTTATTAACATTAATTATTATATATATGAAAACTTACCGCAAATGAACGGCTAAAGCTAACCACGGCATGTTTTGATGCAGAATATACTGGAAGCTGTGATAAGAAATGCAGACCAGCCACAGACGAAATGTTAACGATAACACCCCCTTTGCCACCAGAATCTTTTTGCATTTGTTGTATTCCCAGAAGCGTTCCTCGTATCACTGCGGTCTACGCAAATGGACCTCAATTAATCAATTGTAACAATGTATCTTAAACAAAATTTATTGTATCACACTTTGACGACAGTTCTCATGTTTCTATGGATGGTGGATGGTACATGGTATACTTTGGTATATGGATTTTTAATTTTATTCTTTATACTATTTCATATTTATGGTACTTGTGGGTTGCAGGTATAATATCCTTGATGTAGGTATACCATGATGTGGGTATTTTAATAAATTTCATATTAATTTATTTGAAATAATATATAGACTTATGAGACAGAAACTTGTAAATCAAAATGTAATTGTATACTTGAAAAATCATAGGTTTAAATTTGTGATGTGAGAATATATATTTTAAATTATGAAAATTTGATGGTATATCAAAGTCAGATGTTTTCGTTTGTCAGACGTTAATGGTCGAGCTATTCAATGCTGTTCGAAAGTGTCGTAATTGATATTTGTATTCGTAGAAAAGTTTTTGCTTACCACGTTTACGTCGATGACTTTCGCGAAATTACCCTCATCAATCACGCTAGCGTTGTTGACAAGAATCTCCAAACCACCGAGCATGGTGATCACTTTCTTGAACGTATCTGTAATAAAAGTAAGGTGTAGGTTTGTGAATTTGAAATTTAGAAATTTGGAAGCTTAAACAATCGGAAATTTGTAGATCCAGAAATTTGCAGGTTTACTAATTTTTTTACATTTTGTTAATCTTCCAAAATCTAACTTGCTCGAAGAATAATATCATCAAAATTACCATCGAATTCAGAATTGTTAGCGACATCACATTGAAAAAAGACAGCACGTTGTTTCCCGAATTCTGCATTCAACGCCTCCATCGCTTCTTTACCAGAGGATTCCTGGATATCTATCATAGCGATAATCTGAAATCATTTGTTCAATGTCAGCTACAATTTATTATGCAATGGTTTACACAATTATTGTGCAAGGAGATATAAGAACAAAAACTAATGAAAATCAGTAAAGATATGTTTAGTCTTTAAAAATTTCCATTTCACATTTTAAACTTTTCCACCTTGCGTTTTCATATTTTTGTTCTTCCAAAAGTTGCTTCTGTGACAGTCAACTTGTTAAATAAATAAAATCATAGAAGCAATATTTAATTTATATAGTAACTATCTGTGTAAAATTACTTATAGTGATTATAAATTTGAATTATTCAAACGAAGAAGTATTTAAAGCATTGCATCTGATTAAACGGTAGTTGAACCAATAAGATCGAAGCTTTCTACTGCCAACTTATCAATCATTCAGTATAGAAATTTATAAATAAATAAATTTCACAAGTGGGTTACAAATAAATAAAATAAAAAACGTTGCCTATGAAGAAAATCCTCTACAACAAATTACTTTTACTTTTACTTCTTTAGAATTATAAAATATCTAGTAACTTACAGCGGCGCCATTTCGAAGCAGCTCTCTGCAGATGGTAAGACCCAAACCACTGGCAGCACCTGTCACAAGTGCTCTTTTATCCTTAATCTGCATCCTTATAATTTGACTATCCTAATTTCTTCTTAAAAACTCCAATTCCGCAACCTTCCTTCTTTCCAAAACACTCGGACAATTTTTTTATACAAAATTCCTCAAACGTCAAACCAAGAAGCGTTCTCTAAAAACAACAAGCTTCTTCACTTCTCAAGATCGAATACAGAAAATTGACGTAGCATCACCTTTTTTTTTTAATTCGATAAAATTATATTGGCAAGACTTACGATAAGAGGAAAGAGTTTTTTAAAGTCGTTTTTAAACACTGTTTTAATAATTTTGATGGATTCTCACTTTGTTGTGGTTGTCGTTTGGTTTTTGACATTTACGGTTGCAGGATACTGGACATTTCAAGAGAATCTGCTAGTTCTGTGATTTTGGAGAACAGTAGAAGTTGACATGAACGTCGTGGTGGTCACTGGTTGCAGCTTTGCTTCTCGGACTGATACCACAGAAACCTCTTGTTCTTGTGTCATCATCTTTGACCTGTTACCATTGGCGTAACTTGATGTAGAAGCTGGAGATTCACTAGAAGTTTGCGTATTTTTAAGTTCTCAAATTTTTTGATTCTTAAACTTTTATATTCTTAAAATCATTCTACATTCTTAAATTCCCGATTCTATTACTTTCAAATCTTTACATTTGTGATTTTGTAATTTTCAAATTCCTACATTCATAATTCATAAGTTTATCAATTACTGAATCCTTGATTCTGCAATTTATGAATCCCTAAATCGACGATTCTATAATTTCCAAATCCCTAAATTCCCAACTCTACAATTTCCAAATCCTTAGATTCCCAATTCACAAGTTTCTAAATCTCTAAATCCCTAACTCCACAATTTCCAAATCCCTAAATCCCCGATTCTACAACTTCCAAGTCTCTAAATCCCCAACTCTACAATTTCCAGGTCTCTAAATCCCCAACTCTACAATTTCCAGATCCCTAAATCCCCGATTCTACAATTTCCAAGTCTCCAAATCCCCAACTCTACAATTTCCAAGTCTCTAAATCCCCAACTCTACAATTTCCAAATTCCTCAATCCCCAATTCTATAATTTCCAAATCCCTAAATCCCCAACTCTACAATTTCCAAGTCTCTAAATCCCCAACTCTACAATTTCCAAATCCCTAAATTCCCAACTCTACAATTTCCAAATCCCTAAATCCCCAACTCTACAATTTGCAAATCCCTAAATCCCCGATTCTACAATTTCCAAATCCCTAAATCCCCAACTCTACAATTTCTTAATCCCCAAATCCCCCACTTACTAGGTTACACCCAATTAGCTTAAAATTGTTAATAAAGCTAGATGTCGTTCATTCCAGACTTCAGATGACGCCAATGTTTCTCGAGCGCCATGACACTTTGAAGATGCGAGTACTCTTATATCTGTATAGATCATTCACTGCAAGTCGACTACTCTTTTCTTATGAAATATTTCACTGTTCAATAAACTTCTCCTTATTAATTATTTGTAGCTGAACAAGGTTGTAATTAATTCGTGGTTAAAGTGCATCAATACATAATTATTTAATTCCACATAGGAATAGTTGGTTAAAAATGTGCAATGCAAACAAACATTAAATATACAAAAATTTCTATATCCAAATACAATAATCATTACTTACCATCGTATGAAAATGTATTAATTAAAGAAATATAGATATATTACAGAAATTATATGTTACTTATTCATAAGGATTATAATTGTAATGAATTTTAATGGATATATTAATAATTCACTTAACACATTATTTTTTCTTTGTTCTTAATTTTATTTTTCATTTGCTCATATAAAATGTAAGTTACATTATCCTAACACCAAATGTAAGTTCGTTTTTACAAATTAAGGTCGACATATTGAACAGGAGGGAACACGACGCCACGAGGTGGTTGATTGCCCTCGCTGATCCAGATTGAACCATTCTCACCTTTTTGGATGAGAGTTACTATTGCACGTGCTACGTTTTCTACCCTAAAATAGAGAAATTACCAGTAAATATTATATTGCGAAGTATACAACTTTTTAAATTTATAAATTTTTGAATTTACAAATTCTAGAATTCTGTTTCTATACTTTCATATTTTAAAACAGTAAAATTCCTAAATTATCAAATCCTTGATATCATAAGTTAGGATTTTAAGTTAGAGATTCTTGATATTCTAAATTCAAACATTCTGAGATTCCCGAATTCCCATTTTGCTATATTAATATTTCTAAATTCCTATGTCCCAGAATTTCAACATCCCCAATTTTCAATATTTGCAAATCCCAGTATCTCCAAATTCTAATATTCCCAAATCCCAAAATTCTAGAATTCTAAAATCCCCAAATTTCAACATCCACAAATTCCACTATCCCTAAATTTCCATACCCCCAAATTTCAATATTCACAAATTCCAATATCCCTAAATTCCTATATCCTCAAATTCCCAAATTTCCAAATTCCCACGTCCCCAAATTTACACACCCCCAAATTTCAACATCCACAAATTCCAATATCCCTAAATTCCCATACCCCCAAATTTCAACATCCACAAATTCCAGTATCCCTAAATTTCCATACCCCCAAATTTCAATATTCACAAATTCCAATATCCCTAAATTCCTATATCCTCAAATTCCCAAATTTCCAAATTCCCACGTCCCCAAATTCGCACGTCCCCAAATTTACACACCCCCAAATTTCAACATCCACAAATTCCAATATCCCTAAATTCCCACACCCCCAAATTTCAACATCCACAAATTCCAATATCCCCAAATTTCAATATCCCTAAATTCTCTAAATTCTCAAATCCACAAAATTCCAAACTTCTAAATCCCCTTTCCAAGTGACTAAATTGTCAAATCCCTAAATCTTCAGCTGCCAAACTCTCAAATACTCAAATTCTCTTACACCCCAAAATCTCTAACGATCCTCCCACTAACATTTAACTCGACTTTCACTTTACAAATTCATCAAAACGAATATAAGTTTATTTACGGTTGTGTAGGAAGGTTTTTGATGCGATTCTGAAGATCCTCAGCTGTCACGAAGTCGAACAGTTTGTTCTGAAGGTTGCTGACCAAAGGAGTATCAGTGATTCCAGGACATATTACGAGTACTCGTACTCCGGTGTTATGGTAGAGTCCCTGAAAAGTATTATAATAAGAAGCTGTCTTATCCTACTTTAGTTCATTGACTGTACATATATCAAATGTACCCTAATATTGACTGTATATCAAATGTACTCTAACATTGACTGTGTATCAAACGTACTGTAATGTTGACTGTGTATTAATATCTAAAGAACATCGTATTATACTAAAAGTTGTATTGAATATTTACTTGTAGACTGCGACTGAAAGCCATCACGTCATGTTTGCTGGCGCAATATACCGGGAATGGAGAATAGATTTCCAAAGCAACGATCGATGCATAATTCAATATGGTGCCGCCCTTGCCACCTTTGTGTTTGCCCATGTATTCCATGGCGAGCAACGATCCTTGGATCAGACCAGTCTAAAATAAAAATAGTAATTAATAAATTTATAATCTCGTATGATTTACAGTGCTGTACAGTAAAGATTTTTTATTTACTCGCATTAATATTTGGATACTATTATTGGACAAATGGTTGCTCGCTTTTATTGTTTATAATAGTATTATCGAATCAATTGTTTCTTTATATAATAAAGCGATTCTTGAGAGTAGTAAAAACAATTGGGAATAGTAATAATTTTATTTATTGTAATGTATTTGTTATATAATAAATTATTAGTATGTATTACGTAGATAGAGCTAAGTACACAGTCAACCATTATACACGATACATTAATACAATAACTTATTTCAATATTTAATTTGCGAAATTAATATACAACAGCTGTGTATTATATAACATATTGTCGACACAAGAATCAGATGTTATTTACTTACACTCATCTCGGAAGCATATGTTCAATATTTGATAGGACGTTTGCTTTGATTTTAATTAACGAAAATTGAAATAAGCTATCGTATATCTAATTAAGTTGCAGATAATAGATAAGATAAATAGTGTTAATAACTCATAGAAATAATATACGAGTATTAATAAAAATGAACAGACGTAATGTTATGAAAGATAGAACATCTGTTCCTGTGTAAATATTGTACTTACGACATTCACGTTCACGGTTCGCTGCCACTCCTTGTCATTCAATATCCCAGCATTGTTAATCATGATATCCACTCCATTTAATTGGTTCCAAACTTTTTTGAACGTCTCTGTAAGAACAGCGTCAGTGAATTTTTACGACTCAATTAGGAGCGAATTTTTATGACTCAGTCTTATCGTTGTTGATTAAATTAACGTTTTATGGCGTCAATTAGATATATTCTTGTCAATATTCTATTTATACCAGCACTTTAGCACTGGATTTATGAAATCCGTCAGAATGATGCATCTTAGATTTCTCATTTTTAATAACGAAAAGTATTCAGAAACTTTTGTTACAATTTTAATTTTCTTCTTCAATTTTATTAATTTTTATAGTTCAATTTTAATTTAAATATAAGCGGTCATCAATTTTTAGCACTTTATAGTATTTTTTCAGTTCAACGTCAGTTCAGATATCAACGTTTAAAACCTTCAGTTAAAAAATATAAGTGGTCATTGATTTTTAGTACTCTACCGTATTTTTACAGTTTTCAGATATTAACTTTTAAAATCTTTTATTTAAAAAGTTTGTTGAATTCATTCAATACTGCTTCTGTATTCAAACAATTTTTTTATTCAAGTGAACTATTTTTAAAAAAGTGAAAGTACCTTCAAATTGTTTGGTGTTGGAGACATCGCAAGGGAAGAAGAGTGCACTGCCTTTTCCGAACTGCTTCTCCAAGTTAGCTACCGAAGTTGGTCCCGGAGAAGTGCTGAGATCGAGCACAGCAACTACCTAAACATTATTCGTCACATTCCAGATCTCGGATAGTAGAAATTAAATTTCTCCGGACAGTAGACTAATTAAATCGTGTGGGAACTCACTTTAGCTCCACCTTGCAACAATTTCGTTGCGACGTCGTAACCGATTCCTGATGCTCCTCCGGTTATCAAAGCAGTCTTGTTCTTGACGTTGTCCATTATCTGAGATGTACAATTCAATTTTTTTAAAACTATTCATAGATACAATTATGATTCTTGTAGATTTTTGAACGTTTTAAGACAGTTGAACTTTCTAGATTTCTAAATTTTTGGATCACTAAATTATTAAATTTACACTTTTGTATCTTTAGATATCTTTGGGTTCTTGTACCACTAGTTCCATGTATTTCTGGGTTTCTGTATATAGATTTTTATATTCCTGGATTTCTACATCCTTAAATTTCTAAATTTCTAGATTCCTGGACTTTTAAGTCACTATACCCTTATGTTCCTATATCCCTAGCTGCCAATCCCATAGATTTCTACACTTCTAAATTTTTAAATTTCTAGATTCCGGATCTCCAGATACCCCTATGTTCCTATATCCTTAGGAGCCAATCTCCCTTGATCTCTGTGTCCTTCGACTCACATACCTATTTCTGTATTCTTGCATCCCTCATTCTTGCAATTCCTAAATCCCCAAATTATAGATACCCAAATTAAATTTCCAAAGATTATACCTAGCACCTAAATACCTAAATACCTAAATACCTAAATACCTAAATACCTAAATACCTAAATACCTAAATACCTAGATACCTACATACCTAGATAGCTGGATACCTAGATACCTAGACATCTAGATACCTAAATACTTAGACACCTAACATCTACAGCCCCCATTCTCCACGTCCCAAAATCGGTACGTCCCCAGATACCTACGTCCCCAAATCACTACGTCCCCAGATACCTACGTCCCCAAATTCTCACGTCCCCAAATCCCCACGTCCCCAAATTCGCAAACCCCCAAATTCCCAAATTCTAAAATTCCAATTTCCCATCCCCCAAATCCCCAAATCCCTAAATCCTTAAATTCCTAAATTCGCAAATTCCAATTTCCCATCCCCCAAATCCCCAAATCCCCAAATCCCCAAATTCTAAAATTCCAATTTCCCATCCCCCAATTCCCCAAATCCCCAAATCCTTAAATTCTTAAATTCTCAAATTCCAATTTCCTATCCCCCAAATCCCCAAATCCCCAAATCCCCAAATCCCCAAACCCCCAAATCCCCAAATTCTAAAATTCCAATTTCCCAAATCCCCAAATCCCCAAATCCCCAAATCCTTAAATTCCTAAATTCTCAAATTCCAATTTCCCATCCCCCAAATCTCCAAATCCCCAAATCCCCAAATCCCCAAATTCGCAAATTCCAATTTCTCATCCCCCAAATTCCAAAACCCCCAACTACCCAAATTTCCAAGCCACTACATCCCCCCGTCCCTACATTTCCAGATTCCCAAATCCCCAAATCTCTAAATCTTCAAATCTCCACATCTCCCAATCGTAAAATCCCAAATCTTGATATAATCAAACTTCGTACGATTAGAATCTCCAATTCAATATCAAAACTTTCCATTTCATCTTGATACTCAAATCCACAACTTACAAATTTAAAACTACAAAAACCATTACCATAATTCAGTACAATACAAACGTTCTAACAATTAAAATAATTTAATTATCATTGACAATCAAGCTATTATCTTTACTCATAAAAATGAGACCTATCATGTTCACAGCAAAACACCTATTTTTACAAACTGAACAAAATTTTGCTCGGAATAATTGAACGAATATGAACCCTTGAAAATATAATTCAGTGTTGATGAACCCTTCTCACGAATAGTATGAAAAGAAAGTAGTAGACTTCTCTCGAGACTCACCGTTTATTTTGATTAGTTCTGCTATTTGTGAATCGAACGACGTGAACAGCACCGTGTACGTTTCAGATGTGAGTTTGCAGTTCGATCACTGTTGTAATTAAACAGTACCGTGTCTCTGTGTGCATGAATACATATTAAACGACGCCACAACATATGCACAAGATAGATAGACGGTAAACGCTGATACGTTATCGTTGTACTTTCTTTTTTCATTTTCATAGAAAACAACTTGCAAATTTATATGAAGAAAAATTTTTTATTAAAAGAATGTACCTCCTTTCTCGATTTATACTTTTATTGTCCTTTTTTGTGAGTAACAATTATTTATACCTTGTACAATAACTATTGTAATAATTATTTATATTTTGTGTTTACTGTTAGTTATTATACATAATAGTGGTTACAAAACGTTATGCATTGTAGTGCTTCAACAAGTAAGCGAGTACGATAAGGTCTGGTATATAGTTAAGTAGTTAATTGCTTAAACGACAAGATTATTGTAAATTTATAGTGAACACTTCTGTTATGAACAGGTATCGTTAGTTGCATTGATAAATATTAAATTAATTAGGTGAACGGATTCGGTAGGTCTAGTTAGATGACGTTTCTATAGGCACTTTTAGAGTGCTGTAACTAGGAACTTCAATGGCGTAGGCGGGTTGGTTGTTCTCGATCACGAAAATCGCACCGTTCTTTCCGTTCTCGATTAACTGAATGATGGCACTTGCTACGTGTTCTGGTCTGTTAACAGAAAATTAGCATTGTTAATATAACTGTGTTATATAAAAATATTTTTACATAAACGAGGAACAAGCAAAGAAAAGTAGTGTGTCTTATTTGAAACTTTTCTAAAAATTTACTTGCTATTTTTGCAAAAATTTATGTTAAAATCTGTTTATAATTTGGCAAAGATTTATTTTTAAATCTGCTCAAAATTTTGCTTAGATTTATTTGAAAATCTGCTTAGAATTTTGCAAAGCTTTATTTCAAAACTTATTTTTAAACTTGCTAAAAATTTTACAAAGACTTATATCAAGATTTATTCTTAAACTTGCATAGAATTTTTCAGAGATGAATTCTAAAATCATAAATTTTGCAGATTATTAAAAATTTGCTCCCTAACTTCATCTCATGAATTTTGCAAAATTCCATTAAAAAAAGTATCCGTCATCTAAATAAAGTTTCATAAATTCATGCTCCAATTTCTCCGATTACAGCAGCACAGATAAGACTTTCAAAATGAAAGGGTATTTCTCTTCAAATATTTTGAGGTCCGATACGTTATCGGACATTTTAGGTATTTACAAATAATACTATGGAATATGGAACAGTAAATACGACTATTTGCATTTGGTTTTCAAGTTAGCGTATGAGAGCACAAATATTTACTGTACTACTTATCTGCTTTCCACGAATAGAATATCTAGGATCTTCTATTTACTATAATTGTTTGATCAACATTTAGTGTTTTGATTTCTAGTAAAAGTCAAGCATAGATTTTATTACGGTTGTTTCTGCATAGTAGTCATTGCGTTAGCCGCAGTTTCTTCGTCGAGAAGATCCATGGCGTGCTCTTTCGTTGACATGAATCTGGCGGCCATTGCTGTTGTGGTGAGCCCAGGACATATCGTCAACATGCGAATGCCGGTTTTCTCGTAATAATGCTGTCAATAAAACATTCAAGTCCGATCCAAATTCAGACATCAATAAAACAGAACGGATAAGAAACGTATAAGATAAAAAGTAGGTAAAAATAGAATGATAGATAAAAAATGTACAAGAAGCAATCGAAGTGTTATTAACCCCTCTATGACATCGAATCAGACTCGTTACACTAACAAACCTAAATCTTGCATAAAGAGCTTTGAGTTCCAACTGTAACTTGTATAATTGATCACTAAATCTGAAATGTACCTAACGTTATTTATTTGAACACTTTATTTGAACACTGCAGTAATCAGCGACTGCCAAAAAAATTAAGTGTTGCATTATGCAAGTTTAAATTAAATCTCTGGCAAGTTATAAAAACATAAGAATCTCTTCAATAATATTAAAATCAATTATTGTGACTATTCAGAGATTTTGGCTATTGAAATTATAATTGTTACATTTGAACAGTGAGTGCGTTACGACTCGTCAAAGTAAGGGGTTAAGCAGATGTTAATTGTGATGCTTATTTGTCGAGTACATAATGCTCCGTAATATTCCTGTAATTTTTATACCTTCAACGACTGAGTGAATCCAACAATCGCGTATTGGGTGCCACCATAAATTGGCGCTATAGGTATGCCCTCGAGGCCAGCGACGGAAGACATATTCACTATGGTTCCGCCATTACCGCCCTTATATTTCCCCATAGTATGCAGTCCCAGAATTGTGCCGTGAACGATGCCTTTCTAGAGGGATAACTCGATTTTAATTAACTCTTTGCACTCGAAATTATTGTTTGCAAACAATATAAGTTAATATTGTTGCAGTATATTAACCAGTTAAGTGCGTTCGACGTATATACACATGGGACCAAACATCTACTGCGGTGCGTTTGAATAACGTATTCAGAAACGAATTGTTTTTTTGACGAATAAAAATGTAATCCTTCCTCGTTTTTCTTGAAATGTATAATAGTACCATTTGCCCTGCGTTCGACGTGTATACGCGTCGTTGCTTGTTTTTAATTCCGCACCCTTTTGAAATTAAATTCCACAGTTAACTGGTTAAATAAAATGTTAAATTCTGAGGTTATTATTTTTCTGCTAATAATTTCTACTATTTCACTATGTTCATGCATCACAGTAGCATTATTATAGAATTAGCTAATTCTTATTTCAAATTATTCTATTAAATCAAACGGTGCCTGAGAAAAGCCTTTCAAGTGCAAAGTGTTAACACAATTAATTTTCAAACGCAGCATTTCTCGATAAGAAATCAATTTTCTTGGTATAATTGTTTTCTAACCACGAGCAGAAATTATGTAATGTCTCTGGCAGAACGTAAATATTGAATTGCTTACGTAATTAACGTCGACCATGATCTCCCAGTCAGCGTCATCCATAATTCCAGCAATGTTTATGACAATATCTAGGCGCTCGTAAGTGTCGATAACTTTCTTGAACGATTCTGTGCAACAGTTGATTAATATTCACTATTATCTGAGATTGTACTTTATTCGTCACGTTCAGACGTGATAATGATTATATATAGCAATGATGACTGCGTTTTTGGTGTCTTTTTTTAAATAGAATGATAATTTCGCGAAGGGGATTTTTTGAGAAATTTAGATCTCTTGTGGCTAATTTAGATTACTGCAGCAATTACATAATGATACTTAGAGATTTATTTGTTTATTAATAAAAATTTATTATTAATATAAAATTTATTATTAATAATGGATTTACTGTTCAGTTTGTTTGGGGGATGAAAACTTGTGTTATCATTCTATTTGTTTATTAATAAAAATATGTAGTCTTGCACAAATTTTTAGTTGATAAAAATTGTCATGTAAGTAGTATATTAATCAATCACTAATACTGTGATATAATTTGTTAAGAGAAACAGAAATTGCTGTAGAATTTATCCATTAAAAAAAGCAAAAATTACCATACAACTTGTACGTCATTAAAAACAGAGATTGTTATACAATTTGTCTATTAATAAAAACAGAAATTATCATACAACGTGTACTTCATTAAAAACAGAAATTATCACACAACTTGTACATTAATTAAAAAAAATTCCCATGTAATTTGTCCATTAATAAAAACAGAAATTGCTATACAACTCGTACATTAATTAAAAAAAAATTCCTATGTAACTTGTCCATTAATAAAAACATTGCTACACAATTTGTCCATTAAATCATTATACAACTTTTCATTGATAAAAAGTAGTAACTTAACTTGTTCAAGAGTAAACACTGAAATATAAAAGTTCAGTAAATAACTGAAATTATGTTCATTAATGAACACTGAAATTACTAATATTATTATGCAGATTGTTCATTAGTAATAATTACCTTTCAATTGTTCGCTCTTTGCCACATCACAAACTACGAATATTGCACGGTCTTTCCCGAATTCGTTGTTCAAGTCTGCAGCTGCGCTTTCGCCACCGGAGTCTGCTAAATCTAACAGAGCTACGGCCTGAAATTGAAAAAGTCATCTTAAAAAATAAATATTAGTAGACAATCGTTTTCTACAAATTTTCAAGTGATATCATAAAAAAATCGAATCACGTTAATACTTGTTCAAGCTTCATTTTAAAACTTTCAAAACGAAACTCACTCGAAGACTAATCAAATTACAGTAACAAAATTGTAGATACAGTTAGTGTAAAAAGTATTCGTACAGTAATTAATTTCAACAAAAATGTTGTGAAACGTCATTTATTAACAAAATTTGATCAAATAAAAAATACATACACATTCTTACATAGAATACATCGACATCTAAGAATATGTATGTATTTTTTATTTGTTAAAATTTTATTAATAAATGACGTTTCACAACATTTTTGTTGAAATTAATTACTGTATGAATACTTTTTACACTGACTGTATTTGTGTAGTTATGTCATAGTCTAAAAAAATGAAGATCCTTCACATAATCCAATTTATGATAGGTTGTGAATTATCAAGGATTTCATGACTTATTAGTGGACTGCAGATTTTTGCACCAGAATATCACCATAAAATTTTCATCGCCCTAAACGTTCACCACAGACCACACTTCTCTAAGAACAGCAAAAGCCACATCTAACTGTTGCGAAATTAGAAACCTTTCCGAAAAGTTTCAACTTGAATCAATGAATTCAATTTCTAAATAAAATTATCAATAAAAATAATTACCTTAGCTCCATTTTTGAGAAGCTTCCTAGCAGTGCAGAATCCAATGCCGTTCGCTCCTCCGGTGACTAAAGCAACTTTGTCTTCGATGCTCATGATCGCCGCTAAAAAATCGATTTCACCGAAAATCTACGAACAACCCGATCGAAATGGCGATTTAGTGACAATGTTATGAACGTTGCCTCGCGAATCACGGTTGCGAATATATTCCGAGATGAAGGCGCACCTCGTCGAGTGTCGCGGTGGACGATGAAATTCGAGAAATCGAGAATCAATCGTACGAGATTGAATGTCTCGCGGATATCGATGGGATAACGTGACCACGGGATCCGCTGGTAAACAGGATCGAATTTATGCCGATCGTGCGAAAAAATTCGGCACAAGGTGGCGACGCGTCCACGATACACCGTTTATTTCTGTCGATTTATTGAGTTACCGATGTGCGTTTCAGATCGGCGTTCTTGGCTGGAAAATCGAATGACCGTGCGAGAGAGCGAAGCATGCAATGTGTATCGATTTCATAGGAACTGGCGAGGTAAATATGTGGGTAAACGTAGCGAAAGAAATTAGTCTTTGTCATCGAATAATGTGTGAAGCCTGGTGAGGGTCATTGAATTTCACTGTACTTTTAATGTTAATAGTTTGTACACTTGGTCTCTTTAAATATTTACAATTTAGGGATATGGGGATATGGGGATTTGGGGACGTAGGAATTTAGGGAGATAGGAATTTGGGGATGTAGAGAGTTGGGGAGGTAGGGATTAGGGGACGTAGCGATTTGGGAACGTAGGTATATGGGGACGTACCGATTTTGGGACGTGAATTGAGGAATGTGGGAATTGGGGAATGTGAGAATTGGGGGATGTGGGAATTGGGGAATGTGGGAATTAGGGAATATGGAATTGGAGAATGTGGAAATTGGGGAATGTGGAATTGGAGGATGTGGAATTGGGGGATGTGGAATTGGGGGATGTGGAATTGGAGAATGTGGAATTGGGGAATGTGGGAATTGGAGAATGTGGGAATTGAGGGATGTGGAATTGGGGAATGTGGGAATTGGGGAATATTGGAATTGGGGAATGTGGGAATTGGGGGATGTGGAATTGGAGAATGTGGAATTGGGGAATGTAGGAATTTGGGAATGTGGAATTGGGGAATGTGGGAATTGGGGAATGTGGGAATTGAGAGATGTGGAATTGGAGAATGTGGGAATTGGGGAATGTGGGAATTGAGGAATGTGGGAATTGGGGAATGTGGAATTGGTAAACGTGAAAATTGGGGAAAGTGGAAATTGGAGAACATGGAAATTGGGGATGTAGGAATTTGTACAAAATCCAAATTACACACTTTCCCATAAATCCAAAAAATGATTTCCATGTTTGTTTCAACTACCAGAAAACATATCATTTCTTCTTCGATTTCTTTTCTATATTACAACTTTGAGCTTCCGTTAATTTACAAGCCATTGAAGTATCGACGCAAGGGGATCTCACCCTCACAGGACAGTTCTGAAATTGTAATACAAAAACTTGTAATAATATTCACTGTATAATACTTGCTGTAAGGAATAAAAATTAGTCACTTGTGCTTCGTAAACTTTTGGATCGACTTTCTCGCCCTCCTTCTTGGGGAAGTGAATTAATCTAGGGATTTTGTGGACGCTAATCGCTGATTCCACTACCCATGTACTTCCATTTTCTGCCCAAGCTAGTATGTATGTTAAAGCTGGTCCTATTTGATGTTTCCTAAACGCAGATATTTTAATTATTTTTTATTATGTAGTTAATTTATCTTATTCATTCTTTGTGATACCATTTGTATCAATATTCTTGTACATCGTGTATTAATATTCTTGACATTTTTAATGCAATTTAATGAAATTTTGCTTACTCAGTTGGTATACACTGAGGTAGTTTGCACGTCTTTTTATTTGGTATACTTTCAGGAATGTCTGGTAACCCTAACTCGGCGAATAATTTGTCTGTGGGGCAAACAGCTATTAAACGAACTCCAGTGTCTTCCACTCTATTCTCGTCCTTCAAGTTATTAGATTATTAAAATTTTTAATGTTTATATTAATGTTTAAATACTGATTTCAGATACCGCGAAATCCATGGTCACTTCTATGACTGGTTCTTTCCTGCAATAAATGGGGAACGGGTCTTGTGGCCAGCCGAGGAATCCAAAAATACTTGCACAACTTATTATTGTTCCACCAGAACCACCGTGATTTTTCCCTAGAAGCTTCATCGCCATGCGAATCGTTCTGGCTGTGTAATTCTGTTTGAATTTCCATTTGATTTAAAATTTAATATTTCTATTCTTAATTATAATTATTAATTCATTTCAAGTTTAAGATTTTTTAAATCTTCAAAAACTTCAAAATTTTTGAGATCTTTAAGATCTTTTTTTCTATAATTAATTTCAATTTTGCAAGAGCAATATTTATAACATTTCTGTCACAAATACCTCATTCTTCTTCTTATCATGGCCGCATTTCAAGGGAAGCCTTTTCTTGTCCAGATTATTAAAGACAACATCGACCTTTTTTAACTTATTGAACGCTTGTCTCAAACCAGCTATGTTATTAAAAAGGACTATAAACATTTTACGTGACTCAAAAGTTTGCAAAGCAACAAATCATTGTTATTAACCTTCGAATTGACAGTGGCTTCTTATATCGCAGTGGATGAACTGGGCGCGACCTTTACCATAAGAATTACACAATTTTTCTGCTGTCATTAGACCTTCCTCGCAATCGTCATCCGCTATCACAACATTCTGTTCGATTAAAAATTGCAATGTTCTTTTTATTCATTTTATTTTTATTCATTATAGATAAAACGGAGACTAACACAGGCTCCTTTGCACAGAAGATGATCGGCGGCTGCAAAACCGAAACCTTCGGAACCTCCTATTATTAATATATTTTTGCAACATGGTTCGAGAATGGGTTTTGGCAGATCATCACTGAAATTTTATTAAAACAATTACTTAAACATACTGACACTTAAAAACAATTATGTATATCAAATATATTTAAAAAGACTAAATATTTTTTACTCTTTAAATTCCTCAAACACTTTTTGAATACGTAACAATTTTTGAATACATAATTCAATAATGGTAAATGATATCTCCTCAATGTTGACTACTTAATTATTATTCAAACTATATTCCAAAGACCTTTCACGGTTTCATAATTAATCAAGTTATTACTCTTAAAAGAGTCGTCATGCAGAGTACTAAAAAATCTGCTAATATTTAATTCATCTTACTGAAATGAAGAACAAAAAAAATATTTAAAAAAAGATCGTCAGACGATTAGTTCTCAAACATTTCGAAAAATGGTTCCTACAAGAATTAAAAATATCGAAGATACATTTCAGTATCTTTGAAGAAATATTTCAGAATCTTCAACTATAAAAATATATTTCAAAATAAAGACAAGATTTTAATAATACAGCTTCACCAATTCGGAGGTCTAATGATCTTCATCCCCTCCTCCATTTTGTTTTTCTTCTTCCGCCGCGCCATGTTGTTCACATGGAATCGACAGCGTTTAATTGTCCACGGATTTCTAAAAACAATTTGCAATTCCTCTGACAATCCATAATTAAATCAAGCTTTTAGCGAGCCTATCTGCGATCATTTGTGCGAGAAGGTATCGCGTTCAAGTTGCTTACCTTGAATTTTTGCTAACAATGTCGATAAGGAGCGAGGTTACGCGTCGTGACAGCATCCTGGAAGCTAGAATTCTTTCTCTAATTATACAATGTATCTCATTTCAAGACGTCTAGGAGAGACTTGGATTTTTATAAACAAGAATTTAGAGGATTCGATCGAAATTTAATTTTGAATCAATTTTATTGGTACGTTTATAGGAATTGCATGTTGATTTTCATTTTTTTGGGATCGATTTACCGTGCATGTGTTCAAGGAATGCAAGGATAAATGTGGTTTAGAGTTTCTTAGAAAAAGCTATGCACTTTATTGGCTAGGCTTGCAGCATACATTCCGAGCAAATCATAACAAAACCAACAATTTCCACTAGCTACGACTGCATCGTCGATTAAGATTACGCAATGCTATATTCGAGTGCGATTGATCCTCGATATTGAACCCCTTCGATCCTTTCGCTGGAAAAATATCAATTTCATACTCGAAAGTATTTTTTTGAACGATTTTACAAATTTTGTTCTACTTTCTTAATTAGTTAGGGTACAGGGATACAGTAGACTCTCGTTATATTGCCCTTTTTATGGCGAAGTTTCTGATGGCTGTTGAACGTAGGGGTTTATGAAAACATTTGCATTGACTGGTTAGGTTAGGCGGCAATATAGGAAGAGTTTATTGTGAAATTTTAATCATGGGCACCGTATAAAAATTACTTTGTATGAAATAAGTTTATGTATAACTCTTACTTTATATAAGTTACTTCATATAAAATAAATTACTCTTTATATAAAGTAAGTTCATAAATAAAGTAAGAGAAACTTGATAAACATACACAAACTTTGCTTACAAGGAAAAGTTATGTAAAATATTTTTATAAAATAGTGTTTCAGCTGTAAAATATTCTTAATAGAATACAATATTTCGCCAGAAAGAATTGTAGGAATTTGCAAGGAAATTATTGAAAAGTATAGAACTAGCAAAACACTACTTTCAACCTCAAACTTGAACTCAACTCCAAGTTTCAGTTTTAGTTTCGACTCCTGATTTTCAACCCCAAAAAATGATTACTTTCCAAGTAGCTCACTTATCAATTAATTTTCGCAAATATAATTACAACGAGAGGATAAAGGGTTCGATCGAAGATTGGACGATTAAAATGTATAATAATTGTGACTTGTGCATCGAAGACACCGAGTTTAGGCCTCGACTTCGCGCGTCAATATACGTTTATTTCATTGGTGGTCTCAAATATTCGTATCAAAATTACGAGCACACTATTTTTATGAACTGCAATAAATGTCAATAGTTCCTCTACAAAAAACATATTCAAGATTCAATTGGAGTATTCAATTCAAATCAGTTTTTTCGAAAAAAGAAATATAAAACGTTTGGACAAAGTACGAAAGTTGACTTAGAAATACGATCTTAAGGTTAGGACTTTGGACTTGATGAGTTTTTACGCGTTTTACGATCTGATTTGTATAAAATCTTAAAAATATTTGGACTCAGCCTCGACGGAGGCGATTTGTGTAAACAATACTTGTACATTTAAATAAAACAGTCATCTCATTTTTGGCATTACGTTTCAAAATACACACCAAAGTGATATCAGTTTCAAGTATCTCAATTTTAGTCGACATTTTACAGTTACACAATTTTCTTACATGTATATAATAGAGATAAGAAGAGGACGCATATAATTTTTTTAAAATTGCTTCTTTCTTCGTTAGGTTTTATGTTTTAACCCTGGAAGCGTTTCTGAGTCTCGATCCAGACTTCTAAAACTTGCAAGCTGGGTCTCAACCCCAATTTTTTCATTTCAGATTATTTGTTTTAACAAATTTAGTTCAAGTCAGTCACTGAAATTTTTACAACAATATCCAAGGAAATATTATCAAATTTTTTAAATGTTTAGGGCAGTTAAAGTATTTTATGGTATATTTGTAATGGTAAAAAATATAAAACGAGAACGAGGGATGTTAAACTACAGGTCAGAAAAGACCTCCACGCTGTTCGAGGGTTAAAATTATTTCCTCACAGTACACTTTGATGCTTTCGAAAGAAAGCAAAGACTAAACAAATTTCTTTCGCGAAAAAGAAATTCATCACGATCAAAATTTCATCCCGATCAAAAACCAATATATTGTTACATAAGTGTACCGTTATCAATTTCAAACACTTATTACATACTTATTGCAGTGACCATTAAAATTGATTAATAAAGGTTCGAAGCAATCGAACACGTTTGATTGATGTGTTTATTTAAAAAGTTTGAGAAATGTTTTCAAAGGCTGTAAAAAAGGTGTCAGAGATCCACCGATGCACCTTCTTAAGGACTATCTAAGCAAGGCTCTTTGATCTGATATATAATCAAAGAGATCCTTATTAATCTGCCGTGGGAATTACGTAGTACAGCGGAGTCTCGCTATATGGCCGGGGAGAGGTTGCAAGTTTTAGATTTTGAGTGATGAAGATTTGGGAGATTTGGAAATTTGGGAATTTGGGATATGGGCCAATATATTGTTACATAAGTGTACCGTTATCAATTTCAAACACTTATTACATACTTATTGCAGTGACCATTAAAATTGATTAATAAAGGTTCGAAGCAATCGAACACGTTTGATTGATGTGTTTATTTAAAAAGTTTGAGAAATGTTTTCAAAGGCTGTAAAAAAGGTGTCAGAGATCCACCGATGCACCTTCTTAAGGACTATCTAAGCAAGGCTCTTTGATCTGATATATAATCAAAGAGATCCTTATTAATCTGCCGTGGGAATTACGTAGTACAGCGGAGTCTCGCTATATGGCCGGGGAGAGGTTGCAAGTTTTAGATTTTGAGTGATGAAGATTTGGGGAATTAGGGATATGGGGAATTAGGGATATGGGGAATTAGGGATATGGAGAATTAGAGATATGGGGAATTAGGGATATGGGGAATTAGGGAATGGTGAACTTAGAAATTTGGAAACTTGAGAATTTGGAACCTTGGGAATTTGGACCCTTGGGAATATGGAATCTTAGGCATTTGGAACCTTGAAAATTGGAAACCTTGGAAATTTGAAATCTTGGGAAATTGAAACCCTGGGAATTTGGAACCTTGGGAATTTGAAACATTGGAAATTTGAAACCTTGGAAATTTGAAACCTTGGAAATTTGAAACCTTGGAAATTTGAAACTCGGGGAATTAGAAAACCTTGAGAAAAAAACAAAAACTTATAAAACCTTCCTCTCTCCCAGTGCCACATAGCCAGTCGCCATATCAAACATAAAAAAGTGTCGGAAATATGTTACAAAGTGTGTTCCATAGGAAAAATGACGGCAGTCGAAAATTTCAAATTTCGGTTACACCTTAATTTGAACACTTCAATTCTCACCGAAAAATCATTCAATTCACAATCAATATTACAGCGTGAAAAATTCTTTTTCCCATAAAATCAGTTCGAAATCCAAAATTGCACGCTCATCAACATAATTCCCATTAAAAAATTCAACCACCGTTTACAGGGTAGTTTAAAATCGGTCCCTGAAAATTTCTCTGATCGATTAACAACAGAATTTTTCGCATAACTCTCGCTTTAAAATCGATGCAAATTAGTCGCAAGAACATTGCAACTTGTGTGAAATGAATGTTCAGAAAATCATTCGAATCAGAGTAGTCTCTTTGGCGATGAAACGTGTCGATGAATTAATTTTTAATCGATCAACGCGTTGTATTTAGGTTTCACGCGTATTCTGACGTGGTCTCCATTGAGCAATCGATCCATCGATCCTCGGGAACTCCTCAGCGATCCGTAGGGCTCCTCAGCAATTTTCGACTATAATTTCGGTACATTCGCGATTATGGTACGGCACAGTTTACTTGTATTCAAGCGAGGAAGGATCCACGTGATTCGTGGAGATGCTAGGATCTTTTAATTCTCCGGGAATGTGATTTCGCGGGGTGGCTGGTCCTTTTCGACCAACCACACGCTGCCGCTTTTGCCTGTGTTCAGAATGTGGATCAACGCCTTTGCCACGTGCTCCGCTCTGCAAAATATATCACATTGTATCACATATTTTTTTATGTAACATTTATCGTATCACATATTTTTGTAACTGACATTTATCGTGTGACATATTTTCATAAATGACATATATGTATAGTGTCACATATTTTTGTAAGTGACGTATATTGTGTCACATATTTTCTTCAGGAAATCAATTCGCTTCTGAAGTTCAACTTCAAAATTTATATTGTGAATTGTATTGATTAAGTTGAACTTCAGTTGGGCTAAATTATTTTCATTGTTATTAAAAGCTAGCTGATAGACGTTTATATAATTTCAAGATATATCTTCCATGACAATAATAAAGTTCTCTAATCTTTGTATACTGTACTTTCTGTAAAACTTTATATAATAAGCATCTATTACTTGATCCATTATGTCTTTGATAACAGTGAAAATAATTAAGGTGTCCATTTTAAACGAGACTCTGTATACAACAAAAATTTTGCAACATCTAATTAAATCTTAAAATGTTTCCAAAGTAAAAGACATCTTCATTTCATTAAAAAAGTTACTTCATATATGTCAATATTTTTGACCTTTTTAAAGCATTAAAGTTCAAAAGTGTACAAACGTTACTTTGTAAGTTAACAATGTTAAGTTTCAAACTTTTATGAATATTTTGCAGTCTGTTAAAATTTATGTTTTGAGTAATTTAATCAATTAACAGTTTGTACCAGTGAGATGTGGGGTAAACATTGTTATTGATGTTATTTACCTCTGAGGAACTGAACTGGCTACGTCACTGCGCCAGGCGTCTTCGTATCTAGCCCACAGCAACTGTTTGGTTACGTTCCCCAGTAATTTGCTATCTGTCGCACTTGGGCACAATGCCATTACCTTCACTCCGGTTAAATCCACATGGTATTGATGCTACGGTAAACAATAACAGTGTCAGATAATTCCAAGTGTTTATCGCGTCTCATTTCGCAATTGATAATGAAAACAGCATTTACGAACGTAACCTACAATTTGAATTTTATCAAATTATTTATATAGACTTTCTTCTGAGAAATGTATTCGAAAAATAGGATTAGAAAATTCTAGGTTTGTAGAAAAATAGATGGACATTTTTTGTGGCTAATAATTGAGACACTATTAAGAGTTTTCAATTTTCTTTTAAAATATATTTGTTCATAACGAAGTTGCATTATTATAGACACGTTTGTATTATTATCACACATATATTAACATTGTGTGCACAAATTTTATGACTGTTATTATTAAAGTATATGCACATATTTTTTTATTATGTTGTACTGTATATGTTGCTTTCAGTAATTGATACTTTTTGAAATATTTTTTTTTATGAAATAATAATTTTAATAAAAGCTTTCCATTTTGTGAAAAGGGTCTTACCCCGAACGCCCTGGTGAAGTTAACAATCGCCGCCTTAGTGGCAGAATAAATTGGTACACTGGCATAAGGGTTGATGCTGACGTTGCTTCCAATATTAACCACGATTCCACCCTGGCCACCCTTGTCCGTCCCCATAAATCGCTGGGCAAGCAAAGTTCCACGGATCACACCGTTCTGTAACAACACAAAATTGTTCATTTCACTATCAACGAAAAAACAAAATGAAAAATTCAAAGTACAAAAATAATAGATTATTAAAAATAATAGATAATTATATCAGCTATAATTTGAAAATTACTCACGACATTAATATCGACTTCCAGCTCCCAAAATCGATCGTTCATGATTCCAGCATTGTTGATTACGATGTCGATGTGACCAAACGTTGCCATCGTCGTTTGAAAAGATTCTATAAAAGCAATTTATCTGACTTGTGTTTGATTATTCGTTTTATGTAGTGTTACCTTCGAACTGTGAGTAGTCTGTGACGTCACATTGACAGAAGATTACTCGATCTTTTCCGTATTCCGCGGACAAAGTTTCTACTACCTTATCACCCTCATCTGCAATTATATCGCATATGGACACCTGTACACAAAGGAAATTATTATAGCGACAGTTTCGTTGGGATAACTTTACAATATTTTTATTTATAATAGTTGGTGTAATACAAAAATTTCTTTAGGGATGCATTTCGTTAATTATTATAAGTTTATGGGTTTTAAGGTGTATTTTATAGAGAAGTTAATTAAGGTTATTTTATCTGGGAATTAACTTAGAAAATTTCAGGTGTTCTTACATTTGATGATGTTTGAAAATTTAATATTTCAGACTTAATAATTTTTTAGAGTTCATGCAGGTTTCAGAATATTTAATATTGCATATGTTTAGTCATTTTAGTAATTTAAAGTAATTTTTCAGATTTAATAATTTCATCAAATGGAACATCTTACATTTAACATTTTATCTAACAATTAACAATGATATAAAATAAGATTTAATATCAAGGAACTAAATATGTTAAACGAAATAATTTGAAGAAACCGTATTGAGCGATCTAGCAGCAAGATCCGTAATCCGATCAAAGCCGTAATTCATTCAAAAACAATAATAAACGGTCTATCGAAGAAACCATTACTCTCGTTAGCGTGCAATTATTATTTCCGAGAAGTCGGTCAGAAATGGCGATAAAGCGTACTCTTCGATGGGGAGAGATCTAAATATAAGCCAGTTATTTCGAAGCACGAAGCGTTGGAACATTCATGGAGCGATATACTAAGTCAAGGTTATATCCTTAAGGAGCTTTTACGATTACGATTTTAACGTCCTTAGCACCTTTTTATACAATGGTGCCCCATAGGGTAAACTCTTATTAACATCACTTGATCAACGAGATAATTAAGTGAAAAATTCATCGAGTTAAATCGTTTTCTAAGATAAAGTTTTACTTACTTTAGCACCTTCTTTTAACAATTCTATGGCACACGCTTTGCCGATGCCAGAAGCGGCACCCGTCACCAGGGCAACTCGCCCTTTTACGTCCATCTTTGTTAGACCCTTATCAACTTCTTGTCTGCAAATGCAAAAACAATGTATTCGTAATGGAACAAGTAGACATAAATTTACAGTGGACCGTGTTATACTTTTTTCTCGTTCTACCTTCTTTACTATAACAAATAGAGTGTCAGTAAATTGTTTCTCAACAGATTTAATGCAGCAGTCAATTTATAGTTACTTAAATTATAATTCAAGCCTCTTTGCTTATTTTTTATCTATTTTTATAATAAGCAAGGTATAATAATTTTATTGTAAATGTTCATTCAATTTCAAATTATAAAAAGTATAATATATAATAATGTATAAGAAAGTATAATAATGGAGCTTGAACAGCTGTAAACTAGTTGCTGTACAGTAAAAAATAAGTACTCTAATGAACAAATTAAACAGTAACGTAATACAATTTATAAATGTTTCTATTAATTTTCAATAATATTCCAAATTTTATGGTGCTTCTATTTATTCGTACATGTGCTGTTTTCAATTTGATGATACAACTGTAAAACAGACTAAAAAAAGAACTTGAATTATCTACACAAAAATAAAAAATGTAATAGTTTAGATTAACACCTCTGTCATAAATAAAAGTTGCAAAAATTTTGCAAACTTGAGAAAATCTTAAATTTCCTCAAACTACACAAACATAAAAATGTCTTCCAATGACTTACTTTTCAAACTCCCTGTATCATCAAATCGTAAACAGCCTATACTCAAAGATGCCACAAAAATGTTTTCTATTTACAATTAATTTCCTCGATAACCAAAGCACTGAACGTGTCACATAAATTCGTCGACAAAATTCCGTATAGAATTAAAAATGGATGAAATGGTCCGACTTCGGTAGGCGAAAATTTAAACGACTTCCGGTCTGGTGGGACGTGTGATCGCTCGTGTGGGCAAAATCGAATTTCACCGTCTCGTTATAAGCATTTCGTAGTTGACTTGTCGGCGTCGAAGGGGATGCACGTCCGGGAATAAAAGCGACGATGCTCGACGCGACGCCGTGACTCACTGAATCCGCTTCGAAAACGACGTTTTACCGCACGCTTTGACCCCAGACTCCCGTCATACCGTGTCTACCAGGTTGTCTTTCACTAGGAACTCGTCGGAAACGCGATTTCCTATCGCTCGTTTTAGAAACGTGCCGAACTTTTCATAACGCGTTGCTTTTCAATGTGAAACATCTTTTGGCAATCTGATTAAAATAAATCGTAGATTTTCTTATCTTAGATTTGTCGTTTTATGTGGCTGGGATTGTTGAGATATCTCTGAACAAATATTTATTGGTGTAAAAGATACTTGTAGATGTTGATTTATATTTCATCCCTTATTTTTGGTTTAAAATTGTTATCATTGAAGTTTGAAGATTAGTATGTTCGTCAATTTATATCTTTTTCAAGTTGAAATTTTGTGTAGCTACATTCTTATATGTTTTTACAAGTATTTACAACTTTACAAATATTTATACCACCCAAACATATATTCTTCGTAAACTTTTATTTAAAATATTGAAGCTTGCAATTATTTCAGATATCTCTGTAGTGTAATAAACAATTTTACACTGAAAGTGATTAAATTAATACTTCATGATCTCAATAAGTGCTTTACAGATATCATATCTTCAATAAGCTTATCTTTCTTCGATAAGCACAATAGATTTACTTGATAAGATTTAGAAAATGATTTTCTAGACAAAATTCAATCGCACAAACTACTTTCATATACAATTTAAAGCTAAAATATCATAGCGATTGTAATATTTCTTACATACCGAACAATTTACCACGCATAAAATACAATGATCTTCTGTTTTCCTGTGAATCATAGATTTTATCTTCTTCGTGCAATTTACATTATGGAAATGTGTTCTGTTAATTACAGTATTAACTGAGGCCTTTTTATGACCATGAAGCACGGAAGTTTGTCGATATTACTAACGACCTGCCATGACCCTTGATTTTTCAATTTTTAAGAACATTTTTATTTATAACAATTAATAGTCATTTATAAGTTACATTTATTTAAACAATAAGTGTATGTAAATTTGTTAGAATTTTTTCATATGTTTTTCATATATGTAAACTTTTTAAAATTTATTTATGTGTTTCTCATATGTGAACATTTTTTAGAAGTTATTCGTATGTATTTCATATGTGTACATTTTTTAGAATTTAATTGTATGTACATTATATGTGAACATTTTTTTAAATTTATTCGTATGTGTTTCATATGTGAATATTTTTTAAAATTCATTCGTATGTGTTTCATATGTGAACATTTTTTAAAATTCATTCGTATGTATATTATATATGAACATTTTTTTAAATTTATTCACATGTGTTATTTTGTGTAGCTACATTCTTATATGTTTTTACAAGTATTTACAACTTTACAAATATTTATACCACCCAAACATATATTCTTCGTAAACTTTTATTTAAAATATTGAAGCTTGCAATTATTTCAGATATCTCTGTAGTGTAATAAACAATTTTACACTGAAAGTGATTAAATTAATACTTCATGATCTCAATAAGTGCTTTACAGATATCATATCTTCAATAAGCTTATCTTTCTTCGATAAGCACAATAGATTTACTTGATAAGATTTAGAAAATGATTTTCTAGACAAAATTCAATCGCACAAACTACTTTCATATACAATTTAAAGCTAAAATATCATAGCGATTGTAATATTTCTTACATACCGAACAATTTACCACGCATAAAATACAATGATCTTCTGTTTTCCTGTGAATCATAGATTTTATCTTCTTCGTGCAATTTACATTATGGAAATGTGTTCTGTTAATTACAGTATTAACTGAGGCCTTTTTATGACCATGAAGCACGGAAGTTTGTCGATATTACTAACGACCTGCCATGACCCTTGATTTTTCAATTTTTAAGAACATTTTTATTTATAACAATTAATAGTCATTTATAAGTTACATTTATTTAAACAATAAGTGTATGTAAATTTGTTAGAATTTTTTCATATGTTTTTCATATATGTAAACTTTTTAAAATTTATTTATGTGTTTCTCATATGTGAACATTTTTTAGAAGTTATTCGTATGTATTTCATATGTGTACATTTTTTAGAATTTAATTGTATGTACATTATATGTGAACATTTTTTTAAATTTATTCGTATGTGTTTCATATGTGAATATTTTTTAAAATTCATTCGTATGTATATCATATGTGAACATTTTTTAAAATTTATTCATATGTATTTCATATATGTACACTTTTCAGAACTTATTGATATGTCCTTCATATGTGCACATTTTTAACAATTCGCATATGTAAATTTCTCTAAAAAATACGTACAAAAATCGTCACTTAAGATCCTCATATCACCAAACGCCTAAAAATTTCTTTACTTCCAAGTCTCCCCCCAAAAAATGGTATAAAACGAAAGTAGAAGTGAAAGAATTTGAAGTTTTCGAGGGAGGATTCGAAAGCGAGGTCTGAATCACCCTCTCGCGAGGAAACAGAATCACTTCGTTTAATATTGCAGCCAGCGTGACAGCAGCGTGTCTGGCAGCTGTAGATAAACCGGCGAACACGTTCTACTGGGCGAGCATCAAAAAGGGTCCGATCTGAAAAATTCACGACGCCTCGATCGCTCGATATGTGGCTGGAGAAGTTGCGAGCTGCCGGCTGACACGCACCTTTCCTCCACTTTCACCTACGCTCCTCGAAAACACTCGACCACCATTAAGCACCCGGTCCCCACCCCGTTCCGGGAAAGTCGAGCAGTCCTCTGAAAAAAATTCTCCGACGCGGAAAGCCACGTCTGCACACGGAATTACAAAGAAGCCAGCCCACGGGCATCGAGTGTCGAGAAAGTAGCTCTGAATATTCTTCCGCTCTTTCGGTTTTCTCGATGGACGCTCAAGATTCGTCGCTGGCTTGGAAATTTTCAAGATATCTTGCGAATTTTTATAGACTGTGCTTAAGAATTTATCGACCTTACGTAGATTATGTATGAGCTTTCTGGGTAGATTTGAAATTAGTGTGGTTCTTTATTTGTTGTGAGAGAAAAGGTTCATATAAAATTTAAAGTTTTATGAGGTTCTATATATGTATTAACGATGATCAGTTAATGTTCCATATATGTATTAAGAAGGATCTTAATGTTCCACATATGTACCAAGAGTAATCACCTATTGTCCACATATGTGCTAAGAGTGATCACCTATTGTATCATATATGTACCAAGAGTGATCACTTAATGTTCCATATATGTACCAAAAGTGATCACTTAATGTTCCACATATGTACCAAGAGTAATCACCTATTGTACCATATATGTATTAAGAGTGATTAATTATAACTGGAACTTAAGATTTATTTTTGTTTCAGAATGAACGATATTTGGCACCCATTTGATCTTGATACGTCTTCGTAAAAATTTCACATGATCAACATATACGTGTTGTATTTCAAAATTTCCAGAAGCAACATATAATGAAGCAATGTAAAAAGTTGATATAAATATAGAATGTTTATGAGTAGATACTATCGTGCAATAACCCCTTAACTAATCGATAAATCAATAAATAAATGCACTACTATTTTCATACGCCAGAAAAATTTATGATAATATAAACAAATAAATTTTGCTTTCAATAAAGTGAACAATAATAATTGAAAGTGGGTTAAATGCTACATAAATTTAGCTATTAAAGAAATGCCTTCTGTGTACTTCTTTTTAAAACATTTAACTAACTTTGTGTATGTACTACAAGAAGTCCTGATTTTTCAAATTTCACACTAAAACGATTTTTAATACGTTTGCACCTTAATTTTCTCATTTAATCAGATTTCCAACCAGGATCACATAATCAGAAAGTACTTCAGTTAATTAGAATTCACAACCCCTTCACAAATCTTTCTCGCAGCCTCCCTAATCAGCATATACGTCCTTACAAAAATTGTCTTTCCAACCCCTCATTCAAGTCTTTCTCACAACCCCAATCAGCATATACGTCCTTGCAAAAATCTTTCCAACCCCCTCATTCAAATCTTTTTACATAAAAATAATTTTCCGCCTCATCCACCCCCGTAATTCACATCACGAACCCCTCACAATTGTCTTCAATGAATCAAAATTTACCTTCTGTTCAAATATTTTTGTAACATCCTTAATCAATGTATATGTTTTCACAAAAACAATTTTTCTCTACATTCATCCCTTTTAATCAGTTTAATATACCATTCAGCACTTTTTATAGTTCTCACAAAACTTTTTCAAGTTTCCACATCTTATCGTTTACTCAACTAATACTAGGACTTCAGAAAAATTAATTTTTATTCATATTTATTTTTTTTATATCACCAACTTTCTCATTTTCATAGATTTCACAACCCCTTTTTATATCTTCATTAAGAATCACAAAACTATCGTAGACTCAGTGAAGCCAAATGACAACCTTAGACTCACAATATTTTTAACCACCCCTACACCTGTATAAAAATTACCCTGTACATTCATTCCTTCCGATCAATTCGAGATACTTTACCAACTTCGTCCATTCACAAGCTCCTTCAAATTTTACACTTCTATAACAAAGAAATCTCATTCACCCTTATACTAGCACCCATCACAACCGTAAAATTTCTCAATGAATCCAAATGTACAATCCCTTATCCTAACTCACATTAACGCCTTCACAAAAATCTCAACATTCACCCTTCCAGATACCTTACCACTTCCTCGTCTATCCACACTTCACCCGTTTGCAGATCTCGCAACACTTTCTACGATAAAAATTGTTCACCCTGTCGGCGTCACAGAATCACCGATTCTTGAAAATTCGCCCCTTGCGTCACAATTCCTTTTTTTCAGAAGCGAAAAACCCACACAGCACTTTCCCCCGCGATTCGTACCTTTCGTTATCCTTCGATTCAGCGGTGAATCAGACTCCCCGCAACAGGCAGACCGCGTCGAAAGCGAAACGACGGGTCGAAAAGGGGTTGTGGGGGGGTTGGACGCGTTGTGGCCGCGTTGCAAGAGGGTGTGTTAACTGTCGTTGCCCGACAAGGTGTGGTTGACGGCCGCGAACGCACTGGCCTCGGTGTTCCGTCGCCTTTCACTGCTTCCCGGTGAACGTGTACACCCCACGGTGGCTCGTGATATTGATTGGCGTGGTTGCGTACCACGTGACTCGGTTTACCGGTGGACTGGGTGTTGTGTGTCTGCGTGTGTTGCGCCCTCGCCCTCGCCCTCTCCCTCGCAGCCCTTAACCTTCCGTCCGAGACCGTGGCTTTTCGTTTCGCGGCCCCGATAACCCATGGCCACGGATTTCGATCGGCTTAGGGTCCCTTCGACCCCGCCCTGTCGTTCCTCACGGATCTATTTTACTATTAATTAACAAAATTTTCAAATTTCTTTTACATTTTATTCGGAGACGATGGAATTTTTTATTTTAGTAAATTGGAAATTTTTTTCAGATTCCTTGGAGGATATATTTATGGTGATATTTACTGTCTGTTGGTATTTGGCTTTCTCGAGCATGTTTATGATGTTTCATTATTACTCGCGTTTATGATGTGTATGCATATTTCAACCCTCTCAGTGATAATTATGGTACATGTAATATTTATAAGGTTTATGATATTTATAATATTTATGATGTTTATGATAATTATAATATTTATGATTTTTATGATATTTATAATATTTCTGATTTTTATAATATTTATAATATTTATGACGTTTATGATATTTATGGTATTTATGACAGAGTCTTCAAGCGTACCAAAAATTATTTCTAACTGCACATTTTAAAAGCTGCATATTTCATTTTATTAAACATCAATAATAAATGATTTTATCATAAAATTTCAATTACAGTATTTTTAAAATAAATAAATTCACGAATACAAAAAAATCCACGAGGTGTACGTTGCATACAGGTATAGCATATAGACGGTAAATTAATCGATACTCGTTAGAATACCCTCTTATCATACGCACTTTATCACGTTTTATCTCTACAGTGTCTGTTATCGAAGATAGTGCCAGAAGAGATTCATCAAAACAATCCACACTACACCTCGCAATTTCATGTAGAAATTGTTTACATACGAGAGATTTAGATATGTGAAATTTTAGGGATGTGCAAACTTAGGAATCTCCGTACACAATTTTTATTTTTTAATTTTTATACACTTGAAAATTTTAAAGTTTAAAAATTTGAAGTTTCTGCCTAAGTACTTTAAATTTCGAGATGAAGAATAATCGTACAAATAATTTTCTGATTCATCCCTCGTACCTAATTTTTAATCTAAAGCTAACCTAACCTGTCCACATACTCGAATTAAACCTAGCATTAAGTTCACAAATTCTTTACCTCCAAATTTGAAAGCAAATTTGATGAAATAAAAATAAACTTAATGAAATAAAACCTATTACACCCCAAATCGGTATGATGATTAAAAAAGCTCGTGTGTACTCAGCTTAATTTGAAAAGTAAGATCGAACGATCCCGATCGCGCTGTCGGCGCAGCGTCAGTTGAAAGTCACGGTCTTCCTCTGTCATGGCCGCGAATCTCCGGTGTTCCGGAGCTCGCATCGATAACCATAGCGAATACGAGAACGCGTATCCGGCCAGCATCGAGGAGGAGGAGGAAGCTTTTTACGATACGCGGTGTTAAGGTCGTGGCACGTGGTGGCCAGCGACGGAAGGATCGCGTGGGTCATCCACGAGGCGATGGACGGCCGCCGCAGGATGAAGCTCAGGAAGCTTTTCCGTAGTCGAATGTCACGGGCCACTGTTTTCGCCACGAAGCTCAAACAATGCGTCAGGAAGCAGCCGACGAGAGTCCGGAAATGCATGTGCTTGCCATCCAATTATGCCCTCGTTGAATTCCCCGTGGTCTGGTCCGAACTCAGGTCCGTAATCGCTACTCGTCGAACCCCCTTCTTTTCACAAACGTATAGGATGTTTTAATCGGACAACCCTTCTCTTCATTCTATTTCAATGTGTTTCATTAAACTTGCCTTTTAATTGCGTGAGATATTGTGTCATAGAATTTAACAATTTTTTTTAACGAAATCATTGATGATTTTACACTGACATGTTGACTTAATGAAGATTTTGTATGATACTCTTAATTACAATGTATGTATGTGGATCATGTTGCAACTGCAAAATTGTGTCCTGCAATTTAACAATTTTTTTTAACTAACTCATTAATGATTTTACCTTGACATGTTGACTTAATGAAGATTTTATATGATACTCTTAATTACAATGTATGTATGTGGATCATGTTGCAACTGCAAAATTGTGTCCTGCAATTTAACAATTTTTTTTAACTAACTCATAGATGTTTTTAGTCAGACATGTTGACTTAATGAAGATTTTGTATGATACTCTTAGTTACAATGCATGTATGTGGACCATGTTTGAACTTCATAATTGTGTCTTACAATTTAACAATTTTTTTTAAGTAACAAATTGATGTTTTTAATCTGACACATTGACTTAATGAAGATTTTGTTTGATACCTATATAATTATAATTATATGTATGTGGACCATGTTGGAACTGCAAAATTGTGTCCTGCAATTTAACAATTTTTTTTAACTAACACATTGATCATTTTAGCTTGATATTGACTTGGTAAAAATTTTCTGTTGAACACTAAATCTACCTGCCTATATTGTACATTTACTTTGAAATTAAAAATGAAGTTGAAAAATGAATTAATAAATGATACAACATAAATTAATATGTACATTAATTCCTTACTTTGACAAAAGTCAAAGACTTCAAGAAAACCACTTCAAATTTTGTAACTTGAAATAATCTTGCAAAACGATCATTTCACCCCTTTGGTAGTTTTAGTGAATAAATTAATAAATGATACAATATAAATTAATATATATATTAATTCCTTACTTTGACAAAAGTCAAAGACTTCAAGAAAACCACCCCAAATTTTGTAACTTGAAATAATCTTGCAAAACAATCATTCACCCCTTAAGTTTTCACCCCGGTAGTTTTAGTGTGAACTTATTCTTGACCAGCCCCTTAATCTCTATAACCCTAAAAAAGACTAATCTCCATAAAACTAAAGTTCATAAATAATAATATAATAGAATTTATTGAAAGCAGAATCGAAGGATAAAACTAGAGAACATTTCAGTTTTCGAGTGCTAGTTTAATTAAATAAATGTCTGGCGCGAGCGAATCTATTGTACCGACGAAAAGCCAACAATGAGAGTATTTCAGTATTGTATTTAACCATCGAGTGAATTCGTGTCGATATTCCAGAGCAAACCAACAATTGTGCGACGGTGCAGTGAGATGCGCCAGGAACCAAGTATTCCCAGTGCACCGTGCCATTTTGTCAGCCGTCAGTCCATATTTCAAGGCCCTTTTTACCAACAGCCTGAAAGGTGGCAAGACAGAGACCACGGAGGTCGCTATAGACTCAGTTCCCGGTGAAATTTTCAGTTTGATCCTCGATTACGCTTATACTGGAACGTGTAACGTGAATGCCGACAACGTCGAACAACTTTTACCGTTGGCCGATCAATTTGAGGTCCTCGGTGTCGTTCAGCTTTGCTGTCAGTTTCTGTTGCAGGAACTTCGACCGGAAAATTGCTTAGGTAAATTGTTACGCTAATTACTCAATCAATTATTATGTTATTGGGTAAGTTTTAAAAATGGTTAAATTAAAAATTGTCAATTTTAAAATTCTTAAATTAATGTGTCAATAAAAATAGTCAGTTTTAAAACTTACATGTGGTTCATAAGCTTTGATGATATTTATGTTTGAGTCATATTAAATTTGTCAAAAAATTTGAAGAGTTGTTGCATTTATTTTTGACTAACATAATTATTATTTAAAACTGGATCAATTAATATGTAGCAATTTTTATTACATATGCAGGTGGTTGAATGAAATTATTTATCATTGTGGTTTGACATGGTTTGATGATGTCTGACATTGTTTTTAAAAATTACTAAATTAAAATTGTTTAAATGTTACATAAAAAATAGTCAACTTCAAAATCAATGTCAAAATCTAACAGTGCCTCAAAAGAAAAATTCTTATAAACAAACAATTTTTGCGTCATGTAAGAGATCATCATCGAAGATAATCATCATAATAATGAAACATTATATTCATAAAATACTACAATTTTTTGTATTAATTTTTAAGAAATGTTTTAAGAAAGATTTGATACCAAGAATGTTTGTATTACATTTATGCAGGAATTTTTAAATTCGCGCGTCACTATTTCTGCCGCGACCTAGAAAAGAAAGGCCGGAAATACATTCGCCATCACTTTAAGCGGATACTGCAAGAGAGCCCGGAATTCAAAGAGCTGACGAGCAAAGAGCTCGAAGCGATCCTACGTGACGACGAGCTGAACGTTAAAAACGAGGAAATAGTTTTCGACGCCGTTAAAACCTGGATAGAGTGTAACGTGGAGGAGAGAAAGACCTATTTACCGAGGCTCTTGAAATGTGTACGCTACGGTTTGATGAGCTACAATTTCTTCACGAACAATGTTCTCGCGTGGAAGATCATCGAGGAGGATGAAGTGAGTAACTGATCGATACGAGAAAAATGAACGTTCTTTATTATAATGGTAGAAAGAGGAAGAATTTGATCAATTGTATTTTATTTGTCATATACTCTCAAGTGCAGTCTGTCAATTATATATTGTCAGCAATGTGCTTTGAATTATATTTTTTCAGCTTTATTTTATCACTTTTATACTATCACTAATATACTTTCAATTATATTTTATTATTTATATACCATCAGCAACATGCAATCAATTATGTATTATCAATAGTATCAATTACATCAATAAAGTTCATAATGTACACCCACGAAATATCTTCAGCAACCTTGTATTATACAGGCTTGTATATGAAGGCAATCAATTAAATATTCACCCCAATGTGTTAGTCAGCAAACTATTTGTAACATCAAGGTTGTACTATTAACAATAGTTACATTTATCCTGTATTCGTATTTAAGTTATGTCAGCAGGTGCTCATGTCAGCTAGTGCATACCTAAGCGAACAGGAGGCAAAACATGGGGGTGGAGAGATCGACCCGAAGAATCCTCTAACTAAACCACGGATTCCGTATGAGATCTTGTTCGCGATCGGTGGCTGGAGCGCTGGGTCCCCAACGAATTTCGTGGAAACCTATGACACTAGGTATAATAACTTATGCTGGTGCAGTAGTGATGCATGATATTAGATATAGCGATCTATGATATTAGGTTTGGTAGCAGCCTTTGATGGTATGGTAGTAATCTGTGATAGTAGATGTAGTAGTAATCTATGATATTAGGTACAGTAGTGACCTATCATACTAGGGATTGTAGTGACCTATGATACTAGATATAATAGCAACCTATGGTACTAGGTATAATAGTGATCTATAATGCTAGATATAATAGTAGTGATCTACGAAACTAGGTATAGCAGCAATCTATGATATCAAATACACCACCGAAATGTGATACCACTCCATCTGATGTGCCCTCACTTTAAACATCTTCCATTTCAAATTATATGTGCATCTATTTTTTGTGAATGCGGCGTTGATTTAACAAGGCGAAAGTCGTGATCAGGCCTCGACTCACAGGGTCCTGTAATGTGAACTCTAGAGCTGACAGATGGTTTCTATCAGTGAACACGGATGCCACACCGAGGGCTTACCACGGCTTATGTGCTTTGAACAATCTCATCTACATGATTGGTGGCTTCGACGGTAACCAACATTTCAACACGGTCAGATGCTACGATCCACTGACGAAAGAGTGGCGAGAGAGAGCTTGCATGTATCACGCGAGATGTTATGTCAGCGTTTGCACTCATGGTGAGATGTTTCGATTTACTATGCTTCGAATTAGCAACGCATCGAATTACTACGCTCTGAATTAGCAATGGATCGAATTACTACGCGTTGAGTTAGCCACGTGTCGAATTACTACGCGTCGAATTACCAACGTATCGAATTACTACGCGTCGGGTTCGCCACGTGTCGAATTACCACGCGTCGAATTAGCAACGCGTCGAGTTAGCAACGTATCGAATTACTATTAAAAAATAGTTTTGTTTTGACTATTTCGTTAATAGTTCATTTCAGTAGATAAGAGACATCCTCTGGGCATTGATTAGAAATTAAAAATTAGTGCAACGAGGGTTGAATTATTAGGCGTCGGGTTAGCCATATGTGGAATTACTACGCGTTGAGTTACCTACGTATCGAATTACTACGCGTTGAGTTAGCAACGTATCGAATTACTACGCGTCGGGTTAGCCACGTATCGAATTACCACGCTTCGAATTAGCAACGCGTCGAATTACTACGCGTCGAGTTAGTAACGTATCGAATTACTATGCGTCGGGTTCGTCACGTGTCGAATTACCACGCTTCGAATTAGCAACGCATCGAATTACTACGCGTCGGGTTAGCCACGCGTCGAATTACTACGCGCCGAATTAGCAACGTATCGATTTACTACGCTCCGAATCAGCAACGCATCGAATTACTAGGCGCCATACTACATACGCCCCGTATCACAACGCGTCGATTTACCACTCGTCAAGTAAGCAACGCGTGAAAATACTGCACACCGAATTTCACCGCGTCGATTTACCACTCGTCGAATAAGCAACGCGTACAAATACTTCCCACCGAATTACATCGCGTCGATTTACTACGTCTCGAGTTAACAACGCTCCCACTTCAGACCACACGAACCCCAAACACAGCTACACGCTAAAGCGCCATTAGTATGCACGAAAGTCGACGCGAAAACGAATTCCCTGATCCGTGAATACAAATTGCGGCCATATATCGAGAGTCTCCGATATTAGAACTTTTATTCCCAGCTAAAATACTCTGTTCGTGTATTTACAATTAGGTGGGAAGATTTACGCTCTTGGTGGCTACAATGGCCGCACAAGAATGAGCTCCGGCGAAAGATACGAACCGCAAAGGAATCAATGGGAAATGATACCACCGATGCATCGACAAAGATCAGATGCCAGCGCAGCTGCTTTGCAGGACAAGATTTATATCGTTGGAGGTTTCAATGGGCGAGAAGTGTTAAACACAGCCGAGGTATTCGATGTTGAAACGAACCAGTGGAGTTACATTCAGCCGATGCTCAATCCACGTTCCGGTGTCTCTTTGGTCGCCTTTCGAGACAGTCTCTATGCTCTTGGTGGCTTTGATGGTTTCAGCAGACTTAGTTCTGGTAATTTTTCCAATTAAAACTTTCTTTTCAATTTTTTACTCTTTTGCACCAAAAACTGATTTTCAAGTGCACGTAGATAGTTACTGCATACTTTGCTTGCATACTGCAATCTTTGTTTAAATTATTTATTAAATGCCGCTGTATATTTCTTTGGAGTGACATGATGCTCAATGTTCAATGGTGCATGTTCATCAGTGTTCAACGTGCAAAGTTGTATGTTCAATGTTTGATGTTCAATGTTCAATCGTACATATTCATCAGTGTTCAACGTGCAAAATTATATGTTCAATGTTCAATGTTCAATGTTCAATGTACAATGTAGAAGGTTCAATGTTCCATGTTCAACGTTCAACGTTCAACGTTCAACGTTCAACGTTCAATGTTCAATGTTCAATGTTCAACGTTCAATATTCAATGTTCAATGTTCAACGTTCAACGTTCAATGTTCAATGTTCAATGTTCAATGTTCAATGTATAACGTTCATTTTTCAGTGTTCATTGTTCAACGTTCATTGTTCAATGTTCATTGTTCAATGTTCATTGTTCAACGTTCGTTGTTCAATGTTCATTGTTCAACGTTCATTTTTTAGTGTTCATTGTTCAACGTTCATTTCTTAGTGTTCATTGTTCATTGTTCAATATAAAATGTTCAATGTAACTGCCTCATTAACCGACATTGTCCAAACCACCTAAATAGAAATGAACAATTTTTGTGAACACGTACATATGTTCAAGTAGCATTGTATTCTACCGCGTTGAAGTCAAGCAACGTGAAGAGCGTCAGAACGCATTCTCCTCGAGTAAACAGTATTCGCGCTGTGTACAAATGTTGCTGACCAAAAGCGTTTGGGGTGCGTCGTGACGCCCCATTGCGCAGATATCCGATGCCACGTAGAAATTAATGTCTCGCTACGATATCGATCCTCTGATCTCGTAGGGGAACGTTACAATCCGAATCATTCGGAGGATTGGCACGCGGTTCCGGAGATGTTCAGCCCTCGCAGCAATTTCGCCACGGTCATTCTGGACGACATGATTTTCGTCGTTGGTGGCTTCAATGGTAACACTGTTCTGCATACCTACACGAATTTTATTTTTCAATTTATAGCTCGATATTATTGGTTCGATATTAAGATTGCTTCTAATCAAATTAATTTACAGGATCCACAACGATCGCGTACGCCGAATGTTACGATCCAGATACCAACGAATGGTACGACGCGTCGCCAATGAATTTGAACAGAAGTGCTTTGAGTGCATGCGTGATCGCCGGTCTTGCAAATGCGAGTGAATATTCTTATCAGAGTAAAGCTCGAGACCTAGGTCAAGGTATACCTCTGAAGAAATTATTGATAAGGATAAAAAAATTGCAAATAAATTACATTAATTTGTCACTATACAATATTTTTAACAAATGAAATTTAATTATTTCTAATTGACTTTTTAACAGACGTTCAGTAATTTTTCATTAATTGATTTTCTGACAAACAAGATATAACATCTAATCTTCTAGTAAATGAATTCTAATAAACTTTCATCCACGTTCAAATATATTAAGAAACTACAAAACAATGATTCACGTTCATAAAAATTGAGGAGTAACAATATCATAAGATGTGTTGCTTTATTAAAATTTTTTTTTCCTTTAAGAAATATGTAAAATACTGTTCTCTTTTAAAAGTGAAGAATGTTTGATGTAGTAGTATTTCCATGACTCATCTAATGGGGAAATATCTATCGTTAGGTCAAGCATCGTCCGAGAATCAAGATAAAACTAACCAAGGGGGTGAAGGGGCTGTTGAGACGAATGCTACCATTTCCGTGGAAGAGGGTGAATCCGTGAACTTCGACGAACTCGTTCAGGAAGAAATCTAGATGAGATGGGGAACAATGTCAGCAATTTTCTAGAATAGACAAGGAAATATTCAGCGTGCGGAACATGTTACCGAAATACCAAAAAAAAGGCTAACATCGAATACCCGAGATCTGTGTACCATCAAAAATATCTAAATCTAATGTGATCTTAAATTATTCTGTCATTAAGGGACCAAAAAATTCAAATCCTAAAATAATTTAATTGATCGTCACAAAAAATGACGAAGTAAAAAATGATGGTACGAGATATCGAAGTATTCGTAAAGATAAAAAGTGCAAAGTAACAAGGCAAAAAGAAAAGGAATTAAAAATAGACCAAGCGTCTAGGATAAAAAAAGAGAACGAAAATATGGTAGGTATGAATTTTTCAAATTGATGTTTTACTTTTATAGCGTCTTTTATGAATCGATAAATTATCGCGTGAGTTACGCGGGTTTTAACTGTGATTAAATTATTCCCTTTTTTTTTTCACTCTTTTTTAATCGAAAATTGCATCGTAATTTTGTAGGGGATATTTATTTTCTTGTTACTAGAACTATTTTTATTTCCAGCCTCTTTTTTTTATACGGCACAATTCGCGAAATCTACGTGCGACGGAAAACGCAGCGCGAAACGTTTTCCAATTTTATCGATTCGCGTATTAGCTAATTTTTGAACTTAAACGAATATTTTATGCGTCTTAGAATAATTTTTCCCGTTGTTCGGAGAACTTTTTTCTGAAAAAATCGGCACGGAGATACACCTGCACGGTTGTTACGCAAGGTGCACGAGAATTTTTCAGTTTCCTTTTTTTTTTTTAAATTAGACAATTCGAAATCGTATTCGCTTTTTATGACGTTCGTCCCTGCATGTGTATCTCGACAGCGTACTTTTTGTGATCGAGATCCTGACGTGCCTTGGTCTGTTATTTTAATCGAATAAAAATATACGAACTGTTTATCTGGTGTTTTAATATATTTTTGAAATTGCAGCTAACTGAAGAAATATGCAAAAAGTACACAAAGATTATTTTTAAAAAATAGTTTTGTTTTGACTATTTCGTTAATAGTTCATTTCAGTAGATAAGAGACATCCTCTGGGCATTGATTAGAAATTAAAAATTAGTGCAACGAGGGTTGAATTATTAGGCGTCGGGTTAGCCATATGTGGAATTACTACGCGTTGAGTTACCTACGTATCGAATTACTACGCGTTGAGTTAGCAACGTATCGAATTACTACGCGTCGAGTTAGCCACGTATCGAATTACTACGCGTCGAATTAGCAACGTATCGAATTACAGCGCTCCGAATTACTACGCGTCGAGTTACCCACGTATCGAATTACTACGCGTCGAGTTAGCAACGTATCGAATTACCACGCTCCGATTTAGCAATTGATTAGAAATTAAAAATTAGTGCAACGAGGGTTGAATTATTAGGCGTCGGGTTAGCCATATGTGGAATTACTACGCGTTGAGTTACCTACGTATCGAATTACTACGCGTTGAGTTAGCAACGTATCGAATTACCACGCTCCGAATTAGCAACGTATCGAATTACCACGCTCCGAATTACTACGCGTCGAGTTACCCACGTATGGAATTACTACGCGTCGAGTTAGCAACGTATCGAATTACCACGCTCCGATTTAGCAACGTATCGAATTACTATGCGTCGAGTTACCTACGTATCGAATTATTACGCGTCGAGTTAGCAACGTATCGAATTACTACGCTCCGTATCAGCCATGCATCGAATTACTACGCACTGAATAGCAACATATCGAATTACTACGCAACGAATCAGCAACGCGTTGAATTACTAATCGCCATACCACTACACCCCAAATTACTACACACCATTGGTAACAGAATAGAAGAGTATACAAAATAAAAATAATGAGAAAGGGATGAAGTGACATACACGAACGGTAACGGTAATAACACTAGACACCTCTCTTTTTTATTAATCTATCTCATTTATGTATACGTAGATTTATTCGCTTTTCATATGCATCCATATACTATGTATAGTGTATACATTGTTGTTACTCGCTCATCGGCGTTGCTCTCGCAACTACAAACGTTCTCCATCGACGGTTTCCTCCATTTTCTCTCTCGTATATTTTTTGTTTCACTGTTCGTTTCTTATGTTAGTCGTCTCGTCGAGTCCTTTCCACCCCTTCGTGCCGGATCCGCGACAAACTCTTTTTGTATCGATCGACAACCGGGGTGAAACGCGTATCCTCGCTCTCGAGGCAACGCGTTTCCGCGCGCGAACGCGAAAATCGCGTTGGAAACACGCTGAACGCTCGCTACTTTCATAATCGTATCGAAGACACGACGACGTTCGAGATATATTACAAATACGCAAGTTAGAAAAGGGTGTACGCGAGTTTCTCGTATTTTATTAATTAATCGGAACGCGAGTGATTTAGAAGCGAAGACCGAAAACTTACTGAGTATCTACACTGAGAACACAATTTTTACGAAAAAATAAAATACATTATGACGTGACTTTTCATTCATTTCACATCACGTCATAATTATTTTTACTCGTCATCCGATATTTGCAGAAGCTTCTTTTGCATGCAAAATAAATTTGGTAATCAAAATTTGCGACAATTCTTGCTAATTCCCTAATTATTCATCTCATTTGCCACAAGTAATTCTTGCTAATTCCCTAATTATTCATCTCAATCTTAATGAGAGATTTCAAGATAATTAAATTTTGAAGAACGCAAACGATTAAATGTGTATTATTAGCAGAATCTATTTTACTCGAATAAAACCAGTTTCTTAGCTTCTGATCCACTCGATTTATGCGGCGATTAAAATAACGACAGAGGGTGAGGCACAAAATCAATGGCAACGATACGATCTTACTGAACGAGAAAAGTTCCAAGGACTTTTGTGCTTCGTAGCTCACCGTGGGATGCTTATCGTGTAATTTGAAATTCTGCCGTACGAAAGTCGTACTCGTGTTACAACACGCTCGACAACTATCGTAAAATTTGAAGTATAAGATGCACGGTTCCCGAATGTGCGCAATTCTTTTTATATTGTAAAGGCGTACACGTACGAGTGCATAGGTTAAACGTTTACATTGGGCGCAGAGGGTTTACAGTTAACGATATTATGCGGAGATTCGCTGTACCTTGGCCGCCATTTTGTTTAACAGGAAACTGAAGTTAAGGACCATTGTTGGCGTTCATTGTTGACGTTTAATTATGTTTTAATTTCAAGGTTTGTGAGTTTGTGAATTTGGGAAATTTGATATTTAAGGTTTTGGGGATTTTAGTACAATTTGTAGATTTTTTAACTTTTTTAAATTCACAAATTTTACAGATGTGAATTATTAAATTTTATGGAATTTGTCAAGTTGGTTAATTTTCATATTTTTCTACTCCTAAAGGTCCAAATTTTCAAATATCTTAATCTTCAACTTCTCAGGTCCCCACATCCTCAAATTTGAAATATACAATTTTTCAAATTTACGCACCCCTAAATCCCAAAATTCCTAAATATCTCAATCGCCAACTTCTCAGGTCCCTACACTCTCAAATTTGAAATATACAAGTTTTCAAATTCTCCAATCCCTAAATCCAAAATTCCCAAATATCTCAATCTTCAACTTCTCAGGTCCCTACACCCTCAAATTTGGAATATACAAATTTCCAAATTCTCCAACCCCTAAATTTGCAAATTCCCAAATATCTCAATCTTCAACTTCTCAGGTCCCTACACCCTCAAATTTGGAATATACAAATTTCCAAATTCTCCAACCCCTAAATTTGCAAATTCCCAAATATCTCAATCTCCAACTTCTCAGGTCCCTAACCCTCAAATTTGAAATACACAAGTTTCCAAATTCTCCAACCCCTAAATTCCCAAATTCCCAAATATCTCAATCTTCAACATCTCAGGTCCCTACCCTCATAATTCGAAATACACCCCCTCAAATTCCTCCCTCCCCCAAATCACAAAATTCACAAATTTCAAATTTCCAAACCCAGAGATCTTAAATTCTCAAACATCCACCCCCCAAATTCGAAAACACGAAAATCCTCAAAATATACCAAAAGTACAAATACAATAACACTTTTATGTAACATACAGACCTTACAAAAGCCTTCACGCAGATAATTAAAAATAAAAAACATCGTACAGCGAGTCTCATTTCCGCCCTCTCTGTTTTCTTTCCATCGGTGACATTCGCGAGCAGCAATTGGCAGACGCGGCGTCACGCGTCTTCGTTGCTTCGATTACGATTAGTGTATAACGTTTGTTTGTTTTTTACATAGATTGTTCTGAGCAATTGAGATCTAGTATTGGAGGGATTTCAAATACCTGAAATGTTAGTCACTTGCCTCGTCGTTCCTCATGATTCATTTTTCTTCACCGTCACAATCACCGTTCGAACGCAGACGTCTTCTTGATGACTCTTCCTCTCTCCGTGTTGCCGTTTTTTTTTTTTAATCATTTATACTTTTTATTCTTGTTTTATTTAGAATACTCTCGCGCTCTCTCTCTCTCATTTTACGCGTCTCATCCTCACTGCACGCACTCACACACTTATCTGAGAGTAACAATTGACATGCGTTTCGTAACTTTCCTAGCGTCTAGACAATGTACCGTTACACTGTCTTAATTTATTATACTTCGTTTCCTTCTTTTTTTATCTTTAATTGTTTCTCCGTTGATCTCTTTCGATATCGGGCTGTAAAAAAGAGCCACGATGCAACGACGCTGTCTCGAATGTTAAAAAAAGCGGGAAACAAAGGTTTTACGTTTTGTTCTCCCCCATTTTCACGGTGATGTTGAATTTTCTGAAGATAATGACGATGATGATGATCGACGCTCGAGAATCGTTCCTCGCGCGTTTATGTCTCGTATTCCATCAATTTTTATTTTCTCTCCTATTCAAGGGCTGTCGAGTGCTTTTCTCGATAGCCTTGGATTTCCCGATAGGCCGAAAATTCGATACTCGATGCGGTCGGGATAAATGCACGAGGTAGTTCGATGATATTTATGCTGTTGAACAAGGTGGAATCAGAAATAAAATTAGAGTTGGGGATTTTGAGAATTTGGGGGTGGAAATTTTGGGATGGTGAGGGTTGGATTTGGAGATTTGGGATTTTAGGATTTTGGGATTTGGGGATTTGGTAATTGGATATGTGGAAATTTGGGGGTATGGGAATTTGGGGATGTGGAAATTAGGGGACCTGGGGATTTGGGGGCTTGGGGATTTGGGGACGTGGGGATTTGGGGACTTGGGGATTTGGGGACTTGGGGATTTGGGGACTTGGGGATTTGGGGATTTGGGATTTTGTGAATTTTGAAATTAAAGAAATTCATAAAATCTTACACTTGAGAATTCGAAAATTTATGAATTCCTCCACAAACCTGCTCTTAATCAATCATTTTGCAATTTCAGTAATTCTATACTCAAGAATGTGGAGGCTCCATTGTTCCATTAGAACTCCTATCCTTAAGAAATTGAAATTTGTAAGTTTGTGAGTTTGTCTGTATAAGAATATATACAATTGTAAATTTAACAACTCGTATGTTATTAAATTGTGAATTTAACAACCCGTAATGTTATAAAATAACAAAAATCTGCAACCACCATTTTGATCAATCCCCAGTATCGCCCCGGTGGATATTTAATGGACCTCTTCCAGCTCTTACATCTATTTTTTTTTGTCACCCAGTCACGGCAACCTGCGAACAGGAGGTACAAAATAATCTGACCTACGTGATCAGCCCGGGTTTCCCCAACCTCATTGACTGGCCCATGAACTGTTCAGTGGTCGTACAGAAGATCGATAGGCAGGTCAGCCAACTCAGGATCGATTTCGTCCACTTCAACATAGTAAGCCATGCAGTTCTATCATTCTTTGCTCTACTAACGGCATATTAACCCCGGAATACTACGCATTCGTGATTACAGCGACACGCTTTTCCATCCCCTTCAAAGCAAAGCAAAGCAAAGAGAGACACACACCGCGGACGATGTCGTCCACTCTGTGTTGAAATGTTGACCCTTAATTGCCAACGCAACCAAGGGTTCAGCAACCCGAATTCTAACAGGGTTCCCTGGTTAACACGTACACGGTTCATCGAAAAAATGCGGTTGTAGAATTTATACTGGGGTGTGTTTACTGCCTTGTAATTAACCAAACTACGGTTGGGCTGTGAATTTTTTAGCTGGTTGATGAATTAGAGTTTTATTGGGATTAGTACCTTTTGTGGTCATGAATTTATTTATTAATATTTATTAATTTTAGCTGATTTGGTTAGTTTTGTTAGATGTGTTGGAGTAATTTGTGCGATTGGGGGTGACATTTTTGGTTGTGATTAACTAAACTACGGTCGAGCTATGACATTTTTAGATTTTGCTGTTTGATGAATTAGAGCTTTATTGTGATCAGTACTTCTTATGGTCATGAATTTATTTATTAATTTTTATTAATTTTATCAGATTCAGTTATTTCTGTTAGATATGTTGAAATAATTGTGGGCGATTGGCGGTGAAATTATTTTGCTTATTAATTTTGTTTGATGAAATAAAAATTTATGTGAATATGTGATTTCAGGTATGAGAGGTTAAATGACACGCTTTGGGGATTATTTCATAATTAACTTATAACAATTTTATTTATTTTTGACGTCAAGAATGAATATTTAACGTCAAGTATGAATATTTATGTTTCAAAAATGAAATACAATTCATAATCGTATTTTATATTGAAGAATAAAATATAATTCATAATTGTATTTTATATTCAAGAATGAAATATACTTCACATTATATTTTATATTCAAGAATGAAAGGTGTGAGGATTTTAGATGGAGATTTGGGGACGTGAGAATTTGGGGACATAGGAATTTGGGTATGTGGGGAATTAGGGAACGTGGTAATTTGGGGATGTGGGAATTTGAAAATGTTGGAATTTGGGGATGTGGAAATTTGAGGGTGTGGGAAACAAGAATTTGCAAAAATATAATAATTTGGGAATACATAGAAACTTGTAAAATCAGAGATTATAGCCTTCTGAGATCGGTCTTAAGTTTCTATCCTCTTTCACCCCACTCAACTGCCACATGTATCCGGAGATCACATGTACCTATAAATCAGACCCCATCTCAGAATCCTTGCACACGTCAAAAATAACTTAACCCAACCATAAAATATCATCGAACTACCCTTGACACATCCCGCCATGCTCCCACCTCCATAAAAGACCAGCATACTAGTAGGCCCATTCGTTCGCGTATCATAAGCATAGGTCCATTCGTTTCGATCATTGGATGAATCGTCGCTGATGAAGGTCCGACAGAATGACGCTTAGGAACCTAACGAGAGAAGCCGATCGACGATTTATTAAAACGTGTCCGAACGAGTGGCCGCGTGTTGTGCCGTGTAAAAACGTGTCGAATTGTCCCGTTTCGAACGTGGTGGTCGAAGAAGGGGGAAATAGGTGAAACGGGGCAATTGTCGGCGGGACGCGATAATTAATCCTAATAAGATCGCAGACGTCACGGAGAGTTACGAGAATCCGCTCCGAGTGCTTTCTCCTTTCCTTGGTGGTTCGATCGAATGTTTCGTTCCTTAAATTGCTAGGTTAAGTCCGTTCCTTATCTGAAGTACTTCAGACCCGCCACCAACAGGAACTTCTCGATGAAAAGCTCGGAATCGAGGACGGCGATGTGCGCGGCTCGGCCAATCAGGGCGTTCGCTGTTGCCGGTAACGCGTGGTGCACGTCGTATCTCACCAGACTCACCCCCGACGAGGACATCACTGGGTACAGGATGTTGTGCACCATCTCTCGATACGCTGCACCTGCAATGGAGACGAAAATCTCAGAAAGAGGACTAGCGAGAAATTTTACATTTTTATATTTAGATTGGAATTTACATATGGGGTGAGTTTTGAAGATTTGGGGACTTGCAGGCTGATCAATTCAAGGATTGATAAATTTAACAATTTGTGAACTTGGAAGTTGATAGATTAAAGGATCAGTAAATTTAGAGGTTCATAAATTTAATTATTTGTAAATTTGAGGGTTAAAAAATGTTAGCATTGGGGGATTCAGTGTTTAAGACATTGAAAAGGTACTTGAAAAATGTCCCGCTTAAAAAATTTTGTTTAAAAATTGCTTTTGACACGGTACAAGTAAAATAAACACAAGCTCCAAACTATAATTTAAACAATTATTAAAGCAACAATCAAATTACACCCTACGGACCTTATAGTCCCATTTTCTTGTTTCCTCTTTCCAACCACAAGAAAACATTTAACATCCAAGATACAAAAGTTTGATGATAAAAGCAGCAGGAAATAAAGTATTTGCTCCGAAATGGAACGTCTTCCGCCATTAAGCGAAGACATATGCTCCCTAAGCTCCAGGAAATGGTGGTTCATTGATCAGAAAGACAGATACGACTCCATTTTCGTTGCTTACCAACGGTAAGAGCGGACTCTTATTCCCTCGAGTTGCCCCGGAGATCTGTCCGTTTGTTAAAGCTGTATCGCTAGACATCGATGAAAAATAAATGGCGTTCGATTACCTTGATCGGTCGAATCCCGTACGGCGGCTTTGCAAAGCTCTATACGAGCGGAATGAAGCGGAACGTATCGATCCTGCGCGCTGCCGCAAAGAAGAACGTGTTTGAATTTCTCGAGATTGCTCTTCTGGCTCAACCGGAACATGAACGATCGTCTGACATCTGACGCATCTTTCATCGCCAACTGTAGAAGCGATTCTGATTTCTTCAACTTCTGCATGAACCACATACCTGGACAAAGGTGGACAAAATGATTTACAGATGAACGATTTACTGGAATTTATGTGATGGGGATAGTTTGATGTAATGTGATGATGTAAGATGGTGGAATATAGGATGATGTTGGGTACAACTGGTTCAATACTGAGGGATATAGTAGACTGATACAGTGTTGGATGATATATGAGGATGCAAGGATGATATCACATGTGATGATAAAAGGATAATATCACATGACATGATACAACGTTGGATAATATAAGATGATACAAGGATGATATCACATGAGCTGATACAACGTTGGATGATATAAGATGATACAAGGATGATATCACATGAGTTGATACAAGAATGATACACATGTGATAATATAACGTAAGATGACACATCAAAAGTAATGCAATTTAGATGATATTATAGGACCACATACATAGAACAATATTATTGGATAACATAACTAAAATAACACAGTCTGGATGATACAGAGTGATTCAAAATTAGGGCCTACAACATAAGATCAGTTTACCTGCATTAACTAATCCACTGGTGTTGTAGAGTGTCCCCAAATGTGGACCGCTCAGGCTGAGAAATGTGTGTAAACGTGGAAGAAGCGGTCGTAATTGAGGCCGCGTTAGAGCGCTCCTTATGATGATGGTCCCTAAAGAATGTCCGATAAAGCTCACTTTCGTCGGGTTCAGTCCCGACGTCTCAATATGGTGGAGTATCTCGGCTACCAGTCGGTCGGTCATCCTATCGAAGTCCGAGAAAGTGTCACCCTTTCCGAACAGACAAATTAATTTATTCCCACGTTCCAAATTTTTGTTCCTAACAAGTTTCTAACACTTCTGCAATTATTACTTGGTGACATTCGATACTTAGGACTTCTGAGGAGGTATATGATAATATGAGAGTTTGAAGATTTGGGGATGTGGTGATATTTGGTGAACTCGAGGATCTGAAACTTGCAAGACTTCAGGATCTATCAATTTAGGAATCCTATAATTTAAGGATCCGTTTCTTCCTTTTCATATTTTAAAGTTCCTACTAAAAAAAATTACACAAGACCTAAGAAAAGATAAAGAGTTTAAAAAGATAATAAAAGCCTTGTGAGGGGCTACGAATCTAAAATTAACTAAAGACTAAGAGAACATCTAAAGCTAAGAGAAGAAAAAGAAAAATGATATCCAACTCACCTGATTCCTCTCAGACATCAAAAAGTCTAAATGCGCCCCGGGAAGACTCAATTCTAAGTACGTCTTGACCAAACGAAGATCAGCAGGATTGCCATCTAAACCGTGCACGCAGATGATCAAGTGAGCCCCTTCCGGTGAGAATAGCCGGTACTCGTTGCTGATGTGGAAGTACGGCATGGTCGAAGCCAGGGTTGGATAATCACTAAGAGGCACATTGGATCTTAGAGGTTTAACCGACGACGGGGTCAGAAGGTCACCGTATCCAAGGGAATGGGCACGTTTATGGAAACGCAACTGCGCTTCCTTGCGTTCTCTAGAGGGGATCAGGTAGACAAAGAGAAACTTAACTATAAAACACAAAGACCCACGAGAACTAATGACCGCGAACTGAAAGACAGACTCGAACGCGGCAAAAATATCAAATAAAATAACTCTAGCTTTCGTTGAAAATGAAAAAGCACTCAAGATTCGTATCTAACAAGGTAGGTGCTACGATGGAGGAGCTACAGCTAGAGCTAAAGATTACTCAGCTTCTCTGCCAGCGAATTTCGATTATCATAGGATGACAACCATCCTATGTGTCATTTTACAACATGGTTGCCAAAGCTAGTTTTCAGAGAACCACACAGCAAAGACAGCGAAAGCTTTAGCCCAGACTACGATAGAATACCGTGCGTGTGAACCCTCACCTGTAGATCTTTCCGGAGAAGCTCATCTGTCGCTTGAACTCCTCCTTGCACTTCTTGAAGTTGACAGCGTCGTCCTGAGTCGACTGCAGCAGGTCCTTGCCCTCCTGATAGCAATCCAGACAGATATCCCTAACCCCGTACGCAGTCTCCCTGTCCCTGTCCCTCTCTCGGTCCCTGTTCTTCTGTGGACTGCAGGGTGCGGTCTTCGTCTGTTTCGGACTCCTGACCGGCTTCACGGTCTCGTACACGTGGTACAGAGGGTTGTCGATGATCGCGGGCGGATCCCGGAACTCCTCCGGGGGCGGAGGCTCGTCCTGGAACATCTTCGGCGGCGGCAGTCGCACCTCCTCGTACGAATGCTCCTCGACGCTCTCCTTGGTCGGCGTTGGTCTCTCCTTCCTGGGGACGATCTTCGACAACTTCTGACGGAGCTGCTCGCTCGACAACTTCGCGTTCCGACGTTGCTCCGAACTGGACGTGTCCCCGCTGCTCACCCAACCGGAACACTCGGACGTGAGGTTGCTGGAGCTGGAGCTGGTCGTCGGGCTGCTGGGTCGACTGGACGGCGGACTAAGCGGATTTGGAATGACGGGAAGATTGTTGCTAAGGCTGTCCTTGCTGTCGCGGATCGGCATGCAAGGCAAAGACACTGCGCTACGTGGCACCACGACCTTGTTCTGCGCCACGGGCACGCTGGCGCATCTCAGTCTTTTCACGTTGGGCGGCGGTGCACCGGCGCTTGAGGTGTCGGACGGCGTCGTGCCGTTGGTCGCTGAGGCTTCGACGGGAGACTTTATGGGTTCCACCTGTGGGATCATTTCTTACTTCAGAAAATGACAGTTGACATATATTCCCAATATATTAACTTCCAGAATACCACATTTCCAAATCAAAATTCGTAAATAATCTTCTGATCACTAAGTATCCAAGCTCCCAAATCCCCAAACTCTAAACATCCTTACGTTTACCAGCTCCTAACTCTCTAAACTCCTAACTTGTCACATCCACAAGTTCCCATATCCCCAAATGCATAATGCTAAATGCTAACTGACTCCATCACAAATCCAACTCACTCATATTCAAGACACCCTGCAACTCTTCAACCTTACCTTCAGAATAATTTTATTGTTATTCTCGACCTCCAGAACGCTCGTGATCGGAACTGGAGGGGGATGCCGATACTTGGGCAGAGGTGCAACAGCAGGGTCCTGATATGCAGGCGGCGGTGGAGCCGTCTTCCTGTTTCTATGGCTACACTTCCTATTCTCCTCGTTGGGATGATCTATGTCCAAAACAGGCGCGGAATGTGGTCTCCTACCGTGTCTGTCCCTCCTCCTCTTCGGCTCCGACATGGCTGTCATCACTTTGTAGAACATCTCATTGGTCACTTCCGTCCTTTTTTCTTCGCTCTGCGGTCTCCTGCGTTTGTCCTCGTAACATGGCGCCACACCGTTGCGAGGAGACTTGACAGCCGGCCTCTCCTCTCTTCTTCTGGGTCTCTCCCTGCGGACATCGCAGTACTCGTTGCGGTCGACTTCGTCCAGCAGTCTCTCGGTGCTCTTTGGTCTTCGCGGTCTCTCGGTCACACCGTGCGTTCTTCCGCTGGTGCCGTTCGTGCGATAAAAGAAGGAGTCCGTGGTCGTCGACGTGTAGTTCGTCCTTTTGTACAGAGGATCGGATATCATCGAGTGACTGTTCGGTAATCCTCCGCCGCTGCGCTACGTGGCACCACGACCTTGTTCTGCGCCACGGGCACGCTGGCGCATCTCAGTCTTTTCACGTTGGGCGGCGGTGCACCGGCGCTTGAGGTGTCGGACGGCGTCGTGCCGTTGGTCGCTGAGGCTTCGACGGGAGACTTTATGGGTTCCACCTGTGGGATCATTTCTTACTTCAGAAAATGACAGTTGACATATATTCCCAATATATTAACTTCCAGAATACCACATTTCCAAATCAAAATTCGTAAATAATCTTCTGATCACTAAGTATCCAAGCTCCCAAATCCCCAAACTCTAAACATCCTTACGTTTACCAGCTCCTAACTCTCTAAACTCCTAACTTGTCACATCCACAAGTTCCCATATCCCCAAATGCATAATGCTAAATGCTAACTGACTCCATCACAAATCCAACTCACTCATATTCAAGACACCCTGCAACTCTTCAACCTTACCTTCAGAATAATTTTATTGTTATTCTCGACCTCCAGAACGCTCGTGATCGGAACTGGAGGGGGATGCCGATACTTGGGCAGAGGTGCAACAGCAGGGTCCTGATATGCAGGCGGCGGTGGAGCCGTCTTCCTGTTTCTATGGCTACACTTCCTATTCTCCTCGTTGGGATGATCTATGTCCAAAACAGGCGCGGAATGTGGTCTCCTACCGTGTCTGTCCCTCCTCCTCTTCGGCTCCGACATGGCTGTCATCACTTTGTAGAACATCTCATTGGTCACTTCCGTCCTTTTTTCTTCGCTCTGCGGTCTCCTGCGTTTGTCCTCGTAACATGGCGCCACACCGTTGCGAGGAGACTTGACAGCCGGCCTCTCCTCTCTTCTTCTGGGTCTCTCCCTGCGGACATCGCAGTACTCGTTGCGGTCGACTTCGTCCAGCAGTCTCTCGGTGCTCTTTGGTCTTCGCGGTCTCTCGGTCACACCGTGCGTTCTTCCGCTGGTGCCGTTCGTGCGATAAAAGAAGGAGTCCGTGGTCGTCGACGTGTAGTTCGTCCTTTTGTACAGAGGATCGGATATCATCGAGTGACTGTTCGGTAATCCTCCGCCGTTCATCGAGTCCTGAACCTCTCGATTCCGCTGGTTGTGGCTCCCACCAGTCTTCCCGATCGTGTGGTACCTGCGGGATTCCAACCCATTCGACTGATTGTACTTCCCGCCTGATTGATGAGTCTGCTTTCGAGAGTTGCCTCGATATGTCACCCTGTCCAGGGTGGCTGTGTGCAAGGGTTGCTGTTCCGGAAGGAAGCTGTCGCCGTTTACGCTCGACTTATTCGACAGGAAGTTGTTCTGGTCGTTGCTTACTGGTTGCAGAGGCTGTCGGGTGGCTATTCGATGGCTTCGGGGCTCCAGACGAATCCTTCTTGTATCCAAGGAATGATAATCTGAAAATTGTAATTCGTTTGACACTTGAGTTAGCTTAGAATGCTTCTATAGGTTTCATTTTGAAAATTCTGGGAGAAATAACTTAGGATTGCCTCAGATACAACTTGCTTTAAATTTACACTTTCTTAGATTCACGTTTCTTTGGCCTGTTCTGAAATCGAAAACTATTGGTAGACAGCTCTTATCTTTGTCTCTACCCTTAGGAGGTCTACATTGCACATTGGTGTACATGGAAGGTGGAGTGGTGGCTGAGAGTAGGGTGAGTTCTCCTAAGGGCGAATAATGTGCAGAGAGGCCAGTTTTTACTGAAAGTTCAAAGGGAGTGTTCTAGAGCGAACATAGTAAATGTGGAGTGTTCTAGAATGTGTACACACTACAAGCAGAGAGAAGTAACTTTTGTTCAGAAGAAACGAAGAGTCATTCACATTACTCATTTATGTAAAACTAATCCTTGAGCTGCTATTGTCTTGTTCAAAATTAGAGTCATTATTTTTGGCATTAACTCATACTTAATTTTATCTAGAATTTCAAGTTCTGAAAATCTATGAACATTATTGTAAATTTCATTTGAAAGAGACTTCTCGGTTTACAAAGATCTTAACTCTATCGCACAACATCTCATACCTTCAATAACATTGGAAGTCTTGCTCTCGTTCCAGCAATCCGTCTGTCCATGGTCCACGGTCGCCACAAAGGTGGGTACCGTCAGGGTCTGCTCACACTTGTTCGAGGGTCTATAACCCGGCAGCTGTCCACCAGGTGGCAGTTCAGGAAACATGGCAGCCAACAGCGAAGTGATGGATGTGTTCTGAGGATCAATCTGTTGTCTAGGAAGCACCAGCATCTGTGTGGACTTGGCACGAGGCAAAGGGACCACCGGTGTGGATCCCAGGGATGGGTTTGGCGCCGAGCAGGCCTGCTGCCCCGAGGGAGGGAAAAGCGTGTTACCGGACTGTGCCGTGGACCTCTGTCTTCCTCTCGAGGGCACCGTCGCCGGTGGAGTGACGTTCCTTGTACCGCCTCTCTGTCTAGGAAACAGCTGAGTAGACACGGACCTAGGCAGAGTCTTCGGCGACGTTCGGGGTTGTACAGGAGCGATATCGGGACCCAGCTGATCCAGGGACTTGCTGTGCCTCGCCGGAAGCGTAGAAGGAGTCAACGTCAGACGACCCTGGATGGATCCGATGTCCTGGGCCGCACCTTCGCTCCTGGGCGACCAGATCCCCATGGACCTCGACTCCAGGATCGCCGCGATCCCGCAACTGCAGTCGTCCATACCGGGAACTGAGAGACACACGTTGTATCCGAGTACCCTTACACCTGGATGACTACTGTACAAGACTCTCGTGCTCACTTTTTTCGTCGTTCTGATACTTGCCGCTGTTTCGGTGCCGCTGCTTCATGTCCACGTACTGGTCCTCGAAGATCAACGGCAGGGAGTGCAGGTCCCCGTCCAGCTCTGGACAGTGAACCGGAAGAGGAGGCAAGGAAGCCAGGTACCGGGATCTTCGAGCCGCTTCGCTTACGGCTTGGTAGGACTGGTAGTTCGCGTCGTAGCAGCCCCATGCTGAGGTCCTGGGATTCTCCAGCACGAAGAAACCCTCCGCGAAACGCTTCACCTTAACGATAATTATTTATCATTAAGTGTTTCATCTGTGAGACTTTGGCATATTTGAACTTTGGTATTTTGAACTTTGCAAAGTTTTGTTTGAAACTTGCAAATCAAGTTCCAGTAAATCTGACAACCAGTGTCCACATTCGATTTAAACGAAATCCAGATGTATTAAAAATAATTAACTCACCCTCAGTTGATGATGAATTCTCGCAAGGTGCTGATGTACAGCCTCCCGTCCAGAGAACGCCTCCAGAAAATGTTGCCAGAGAACAATGTTTTGTGCGCAGAGTTGAGCGATATCAGTTTCCTCCGTGTCCATCATCTGCAACCATACCATCAGTCGATCGAGCTAATTAAAGTAGATAATTAATACAAACCTTGGTGATTTCTTTGTGCGTGTTCTGAGCGAGCTCGAGCGCTCTCTGTTGGCAAGAGGGTAGGAGCCGGGCTAGATCGGCTAAATCGTTGAGCAAAGATTCTCTGGCGGCCAAAAGTAGCCTGATCACTTCCTGCTGCACCAATTTCGCATGCTGTATCCTCGTCGCCGAACCGACGCATCTCGTCGTCGTTTCCTGGAACAATTTGCATCGATAACTGGACAGCTGCATACTCGATCGCGAAATTTCACACGTTTGAAACGTGAACTCACGATATTTCCTAACCCGGCATTGTTGTCTCCGTTCGCAGCCGACTGTTTAAATTGCAGCCATGGTTTCCCTCCACGTGGCGCGCTGCGAGCACATTACTCGGTTAATTGTCTGTTCGCGAGGTTAATTGAAACACGGTCGACTCTGCTCGATACTCGTAGCACGAGGGGAATAAAATTTGAATCAATTATGCTGATTAAGTCGAATCGATTTTCGAGATGGAATTAGTTACACCGTTCCATTTTTCGCGCTCGGTGTTATGAAGTCTCGTTATATGGCCGTAGTTATTGGCACGGAACTGAGAAGGGCTATATAAAAAGAACACCTCTCTATCGAAGTTTGAGAACTTGTAAATTGTGATCAAGTCTGAATTTGATTATTTGAAAATTTGTACATTTTTGAATTTTATTAGACAATTTTGCAAATTTACAAAACTAAAGTAAGTTAAAATATTTGGGATGAAATTCTAAATAACCAAATATATGCTTCACCGTTAAATTCAATAATCTACACGTATTCCGGCAATATACGAAACATTCGAAACTCACCAGCTTTGTACATAATGAAGTATGCTCTTCCTGCAGCCGACATACAAATGCAATCAAACGATCAACATATAATTTTAGTAATTAGATACATATAATAATAAAAATTGATACCGACTTGATGTACGGTTGATGAAGAGCCACAAGGCAAGCATGGATCGTCATGGACACCGCAGCTAGATGAAAATAATCGAAGAGGACAGGTAGGTGATAGTGAAGCCCTTTCGTTGGTGCGAAGTTCAGCTGCAACGCCCTATGAGGTAGAAAAGTAAACGAGGCTTGTCAAACCTTCAAGGTGAAACATGAAAGCACACACGGCCAAGGTTATCGATCTTCGTGTATAAAAGTCTGTGGGAAAGTTCTGCTTCTTAAAGCTCGCTTTCGTTCTGTACGGAGCTCTGAAAAATTTGAGGGGTCTGAATTCTGCTCTCCAGTCTACGTTTCGATTTTCTTTTTTAATATTTCATGTTGGCAGCTGGGGTTGCTTACGTTGTAAGGACGGTTTAGGACGTGGAATTTTTGGGGGTTGTGTAGCTGAGGATTTGGGAGTTTGGAAAATTGAGGGTTTGGGGATTTAGAGGGTTGGAAACTTGGGAGTTTGGGGATTTGGTGACTTGGGAGTTTTGGGATTGGGGAGTTGGAGAATTTTGAATTTAGGGATTTGGGGACGTGGGGATTTGGGGACGT